CGAGCTGTTACGAGCTGTTCGCAGCAACCGGGAGGTCCTGGGAAAGTGACAACCGAACTCCCCTCCCCCGTAGAATCTGACCCCGGGCGGGTTGCAGTTGCGGGGTCCGCGGGTCCGATTTCTTCCGGCTACATCGGACCCACAACATCCGAACTTGGATGAATGCTGGCGGAAATCGGATCCACCGAAACAAAAACCAAAACCAACATTGGATCCGCGCGAACTTTCTTGGATCCGACGGCGGTTATTCCATACGCGTCGGCTCAAGACTTCGAATCGTCGTTCTGGGCCCAAGAGGGAAACTTTCATCCTGGGGATATAAACACGGTGATTCGCGGCGTTGAAGTCCCGCGAATGGTGTTTTGGCGCGGTTCAAGATGTTCAAACGGTTGTCTTCCAACGGCCACTTCCCTCAGTGAAGATGAATCCGTGCAGGGGCCTATGAAGAGGGAACTTGAAGGGAATGTCAATTCTAATATCGCTGATGACTCTCAGCGTTGCATTCGTCCCCTCCTTTTCCTCATCCGCGAAATCCTTCTCCTCCTCCTACTTTCTCCCTCCTCCCTCCTCCCTCCACACTTACACGCTATGAATACTACTCTCCTCTCTCCCCTGATGACATCCAGAAGATGTTTGGCCCCTCTCCGCGTATTGTTATCTACACACACAGGATTCCCCAGAAATTGGGTTTTCGCTTGGTGTCAGAAACAAGTTGTCCCCGCTGCAGCGCTGGCCTCATTGCCGTTGTCGGGCTTCCGCTCGTTCCGAATCCTGCTCCCGCTGCGGCGCTGGCCTCATTTCCGGGCTTCCGCTCGTTCCGAATCGTGCGCCCGCTGCAGCGCTGGCCTCATTTCCGCGCTTCCGCTCGTTCCGAATCGCGCACCCGCTGCAGCGCTGGCCTCATGTCCGCGCTTCCGCTCGCACCGAATCGTGCTCCCGCTGCAGCGGTGGCGCCATCATTTCCACTACCACGCCACGACATGCAATGCAATGCAATGCAATGCTATGCGGTGCTCCGTGGCTCGATGCCATGCCTCCAGCTGCAGTGCGAGGACATGCAGTGCTGGGCTACGCAGTGCCACGCCACGCCATGCCATGCTACGCTTTAATATGCAACGTCATGCTATGCCATGCTCTGTCTTGCGCCGCTGTGCGATGCCGTTATTTGCGTTGCAATGCTTTGTGACGCAATTCATCACTACGCAACGCCACGCCATGCTATGACATAGTACGCTCTGCCGTGCTCTTCTACGCCCTGCTGGGCCGAGCTCTACGATGCATCGCGCACCCTCTCGGGATCATTGCCCTGCTCGACAACCGACAGTGCGGATAGAGAGGAGATCTACGCGATGGTAAGTTAAGGACATCAGGTATTACGCGAGCACACGTAGCTTGTCTCCCTCCCCCTCCTGCTCCGCCTCCTCCTCTGGTTTCTCCTCCATCCTCTCTTTCTTGGCGTGTGACGGCTTCCGAACCTTTATTGCACTGCGTGCCACCCCGTGCCTGATCTGGGCAACTCGCCGGGGCATCGTTTCTAGGTGGGCCCGTGGGGTTACGCGACGCGTTTAGAATGATAAAAGATAAAGATCATTGAGTGTGTGTGTGTATGTGTCGCTTCTCGCTTCAGGAGGCAGAACGGCCCGAAGCGGGTGGGAGGGGAACGCTCCTTTGTGCTGTCGATGGTCATGATTTTCGCCAGCGCTTCGCAGATCTCGGGGGTCGCCGGCGGCAGTCCCTTCGAGGCCCGGCCGAGGACTTCCTGGCGACCCACCCCCTGGTCTCCCTCCACGCCTCGTTTTGGAGCGTCAATCTCCCAATTCCACCCTGCCTCGTGATTTTCCCTCCTCTCCTCTTCTCCTCTAGCAGGGAGTGGAGGAGGGAAGAGGGTGGAGGAGAAGGGGGACGGAGAGGAGGTTGCGACAGAGGGTACGGGTGATGTGGGAGTCGGAAAAGCGAAAGAGAGGGGGAGACGGGAGGGGTGATCGTAGCAATGGGAGGCGAACGGAAGAGGGCCCGGACCTCTCGTGTTTGTGCCAACCGAGTGGCGAACGTCAAGCTCCACCTGGCAATCCTGCCATTTTGCACGTACTCTGTTCGAGTTGGCGAGTCCTGGCGCTGGTGGAAGCAAGAACTCTATCACGCAAACTGTGGCTTGCTTCGAGCAGACTTCTCTTCCAAGTGGCTAGAGACACGGCATCCGTCCTATATGGCAGTACCAGCGGCAGCTACATGGCGCGAGTTCTCGGAGAGGGTCCTGAGAGGGTCCTGCTGAGAGGATCCTGAGAGGGTGCTCGGAGGGTCCTGAGAGGCTCTCGAGAGGCCATTGGTCCTGAGAGGCTGCTTCAAATGTCCTGCAAAGGTTAATGAGAGGCCATTGGTCACGAGAAGCTCCTGAGAGGCTCGTGAGAGGGCCGTGCGAACGCCCCGAGCGGCTCCTGGGAGGGAGGCCTAGGGGAGGGTCCTAAGAAGGCCCTCAGTCCTGAGAGCCTCCCGACATGTGCCTGAAAGGATCCAGAGGAGACACTGAGAGGCTCCTGAGTGGAGAGAAGTTTGACTGAAATGTGATTGAAAACCCATTTGTTAAGAACATGTTCTTGGACATCTTCAGCGACGATGTACTGGCCAACCACAGATGTGGGACAGAGTTGGGAAAGATGTCGGCGTGGTCGCCCATTGAAGCATCCGACTCGATAAAAGCAGGTGGCGGCAGCGGGCCAGCAAGGAACCGACAGCTGGACTGAGGCCGCCAGGGCCTTCCTGGAACAGGTGCTGGGTCCTTCTGTACTACTACGAGAACGCTGTAGCAAGACGCTGTGAAAGCAGTAGTCCGTGGGCCTCTGGGACGTTTGATCCTAGTGTGGCGCGCCTTGCTCTGAAACATAAAATGCTTGTGGCAACTGACTCGATCGGCAGCCGCGCGTGGAGAGAAAGGGCAGTTTGTCGGACATCCCCTCTACGCATTAAAACTCTCACGAAGCCAGCGCGACCTTCTCCTGCAGAGTGTATGCGCCAGGGGCGCAGCAGACCGCCCAATCAGCGTGCGGCGCAGATGTTCTGAGATGGCAACGCGTCCTGGAAGACCTTCCATTGCTGAAATTGAAGCGCCTTTGACGTTAACTGATGCTTCAGCTTTACGTTGGGCCATTGAGTTGATTCTTGAAGCCTGGAACACACTGTATACATCAATGATGCCAGAGCGTGTGTCACCTCATCGGCCAAGTAATTTACTTTGAAAGTTTGGGAGGCTCCTGATACACTATCAGTGCTGTCCAGGGTTGAACTTGGAGGGCGTTCTGCTTTGCTGCGCTTATTAAACGACGCGAATATGCATCCAACGGCAACGCGTGCCGTTGACACATTCCCAACAGAAACACATTGCCGCAGCAAATCATGACTTGCTCCACATGTTGGCCAGGCGGTGGTGTGGACAAATGCGTCAGTCCACGACGGCTCACGGGTGGGTCAGCCAGACAAGCAATTTCGCTCTAATGCTGACCATCTCTTGAACGCCGCCGAGCACTGAACATTCTGCGTGAAGATCCATGGGTGTCTGCATCACTGCCGCTGCCGTCATCGGAGCGTCCTGCCGCATCCATTCCCGAAGCCTCGCTAACATCCTCGGGCACAACCATCGACCGACTATTCGATGCCTATCCAATGCCAGTCACATGGGCCAAGGCTGCCGCATGTGAACTTCGGGCACGTGAGCGCACGTGAAAAAGGAAGCCTGGCCCTTCCAACCCGAATCTTCCCGAAACCGGCATTTAAGGAAACATGGCTGCGGGCACAGCCGCTGTCCGTCATTGCACGAGTGGCACGTAGGGCGAATTACTCCAGGGGCCCTCCCTGGAAGACCTGAACCCTCTGGCACAACTCCCATCTGGAACCAGCAGTTTTGGAAGCGGCTCCTCGAACACCAGATGGATTCATGGTCTATCCACGATCGCAACCTCCGCTTGCCTTCGTAATGCAACATCCCGTAGGAAGTGGCACAGTCTTTCTGCTTCGGGTAAACCCCTGGACTTGTGCGTTTCGGGCGATCTGGGGCAGTCAGTTCGAACTGCGGGCTAAAACGATCAGGGACACTGACTCGGTAGAGCTGGGCCCTGGGTGTGCGATCTGTGCTGTAACTCTAGGATGGCCGACGCTGTACTCAATCGGTCAATCCCCGGCTGAACAAAACAACATGCCAACGTTACTGGGCTCGATTCTGCCCCGTCAAGGTCCGACTGTCTACGTCGGAGGGGATATACATCTGGATTGTCTCGTCCCCTGGGCAAAAGCGAGGGCGAACTCGCCACGGGGAGGATCACGCGTCGTGCGGGAGACTCCTGGGGTTGAAGTCGCTGGCATGACCGCGCTGGACAACCCTCTCGGCCCTCTCTCTTTTTTTTGTTCTCTCTCTCTCTCTCTTTCTCTCAATCTCCCTCTGTCTGTCTTTCCAGCTCCTTGTGTATACACATGTGTAGATGTATGTTTACACCTCCCCCTCTTTCTCACACACTCGTTCCCTTTCCTTCTCTCTCTCTCTCCCTCTCTCTCACACAAACACTTTTGCGCGGTCCCGTCATCTCTACTTATGTATGCGTGTTTGTGTGTGGGTTCCCAGTCTATGCTTGTTGATGTGTACGTTGTACTAACCATCATACTTTATGTACCTCGCGTTCACCCTGAATGTTGATGTACACGTATGAATCAAGGTATACGTGTGTCTTGTGCCCGGTGTATGTGGCAATTGCCCGTGTCCGTGCCCTCTTCTCTGGAATTCCATACATGTGTCTGTCATGGTCGCTGTGAGATCCCTCTCGAATCTGCACTTGTAAACGGACCCGGGGAACAGTCGGAGCATATGGTATCCAGGACGAGTTGCCAGCATCGGTGGGCCGCTAGCATGCTGGCACGCCCCCGTGTACAACCAATGGGAGCAAGTGCTCAATGCTAACTCTCTCCTGCCATCTCCCCCGCCCAGGCACGTCCCACCGCGATGATCGCAGAGAACTTCACGTTGGCGGGCTCCATATCGTCTGACACGTCCGCAGCCTCCAGCCTCTTCGAGAAGCCTCGGGCCTGGGAGCGACGATTTTTCCCGAGGCTGTTGCTGGACTTTGTCGGATGTCGACATGGAGAGAGCGATCACCTGGACGGCACGGAGCTCGAGCGCGTGTCGGGCACTCCTTCGCCCATATAGCTCAGGCAGGCGCTACAATCCAGTGAGAGACTGCGCAAGCCGCACACGCCCGTTGGTGAGGCCCTGGCCATCGCTCGGATGTCCATTCCCTGTGTTTTTGTTTCGGTTTTGTGCGTGGTATTTTCGCCAAATGATCAAGGATGCTCCTCGATGGTCCTCGCCGGAGGAATGAGGCACACGTCCGATCGATGCCAAGGGCCTGGCCGATGGATCGGCGGCAGCGCCTCGACACGGGCCTCGGGCAGTGGAGGGGATGCAAGCTTACGGGCGGCACGCACGACGCGCCAGCCCGGCGGTACTCTGAGCCACGGCGAGAGGAACGAGGGATGCAGGCTCCAGCGGCGAGCTCGCATGGAGCCTGCGGGGCGAGGGCAGGGAGGAGGAACGGGGGACAGCGAGAGAGAGAGCCAACGCGGAGGGATATGCAAGGCGCAGAGATAGGAAGGAAGGGACAGAGAAGGGAGAAGGAGGGAGAGGGGGAGCGAGGCAAGGGGAGGGGGAGGGGGAGGGGGGAGCAGGCTGCGAGACAGGGAGGGACGCGGGCAGGGAGGGGAGGGGTGGACGGGGGTAGCCAAGCTAGGTGCGCTCGCGCCATATATGACATCTTACTCCTCACACCTATCCCTTCCCATTGCGCTGACAGTTTCTCTATCCGCGCCCGCGTGTCATAGTGGACCTGCACCTCCCCCGCCAGAAACTCCTCGTATTACGCGCAGTCTGAGAAGAGAAGCTGCGTACAGAGGAGGTGGAGGTGGCAGACGAGCAGGAAAAAAGGAGTAGGACGAGGAGGGATGAGGCGGACGAGGACGAACATCAATATCAGGAACTGGACCGGAAGGATCGGGAGGAGCAAGAGGACCAAGGGAAGGTGGAGGGGGAATGAGGGGAACGACAACGATGAGGGACTCGGATCCAGAAAAGTGGCCCGCGCTGGGGCGAGAGCGCCGATCTAAACGACGGGAGTAAAGCCCCGAGCCTAACATGAGGCCCACGCTGCAGTGGGAACACCATCTTGGAGCACCAAGAACAAGCGGAGTCCAGAACGCCTTGAGAAAATAAATGGTGTGCAAATTCAATGCAGCAACCAATTGCGCGGAGAGGGCCGGGAATCTTCTGGACGGGGTCACGGGATACAGGATAGCAGCACGGTGTGGGCATTGGATAAGGAAGCCACTGGAACTCCAGGGTCTCCAAATATGGAAGGCATAAGGAAGCAGCGGATACGGAAGCCATAAGGAAGCAGCAGATACGGTGTGGGCAGCGGATAAGGAAGCCATAAGTAAGCAGTGGAGCATCGGAGAAGGAACCCTTAGATCAGGCATCCAGGGCCTGGAAGCCAGTGGAACTCCGATCGAGGCCTGGCCCTGGACCTCACCGCCGCCTTATCAAAAAACGGCACGTCCCCGCCCGGACAGGGCGGGGGCAAGGACAAAGGCAAAGGCAAAGGGCGAGGCGACCCGAAGGGCAAGTCCAAGGGCAACGGGAAAGCCACGCCCTCCCCCAAGGGCGAGTCAAAGGGCAAGTCCAAGGGCAAGGGCAAAGGCAAAGGCAAGAGCAAGGCATCCGGCAAGACGAGCGCCGGGAAGGGCGCTGGCGCACGAGGAAGCGCGAGAGGGTCTGGACGTGGCAGATCCGCCGGAGGCAGGCGGCGAGGGAGGGGGACGTGACGGTGAGGCTGGCCCGTTTGTTCCTGCAGTTCACTCGTGATCTCCCCGCCCCTGATTTCAACTCGTTGCTTTCGTGTGATGATAAACCAGTTTATTTGTTTCACCCGCGTTCGAATTGTGCGACTGTCCCTTCAGGTACCGAGCTGGCCTGGCCAGTCAGGTTTTTGCTTACGATGTTTCATCGAAAGCACGTGTTTTGCATGACACCCAAATCTTCTTTGTCTCACGTTTCTCTTGCCCTTTGGAATTGGGAGCATAAGCTTCGTTGGAGATGGTTTTTCGGATCTAACGCCGAAGACCCAACAGCTGGCGAAAGCTGGTGGCGGTTGCGATCCAAGAAAAGATATTGCAAGCCGTGTGATGTTGTATTGCCTCTGTCTCTGCAGTGCATGGTTGACGCTGTCAGGCGTGAGGTCTGGCAGGCGTGCCTTGTACAGAGCCGGCGTCGCGCTCCGCCAGTGCCCGCAGTGATTAGGCTTGCTCTCTCCCTCCTCCAAAAAACGGGCGTCGGGGCGCTCCCCACAGATAAAGATGCTGGTTTTTGTTTAATCCGCAAGAGCGATTTGCACAATCGCTACATGCATCTATTGTCTGGCCCCGCTTACCGAGTGAAGCTCGCTCCATACAGTTTTGGGGCGACAGTGGTAACTGATTTCATCGAGGCTGTTCGCGAAACGTGCAGGGTTTTAGATGACAGGGCGCTCGAGCGAGCCATGCTTTCGGACGTGGACGCGAGCCGGTGCGAAGACATCGTGTCGCGCGTTGGGGCCACCGTCAAGACGCACAAGCCTCCTGGCAAGGTGGAGTTGCGCCTCCTCCACTGTAGTGTTCGTAATCCGATGGCTCCAGCAATGCGGTGGATCTCCCACGCGTTGCTCCCTCATCTTAGGCGTGTTCCGTTTCTGGCTCGCGACACCCAGCCTCCAGCCTCTTCGAGAAGCCTCGGGCCTGGGAGCGACGATTTTTCCCGAGGCTGTTGCTGGACTTTGTCGGATGTCGACATGGAGAGAGCGATCACCTGGACGGCACGGAGCTCGAGCGCGTGTCGGGCACTCCTTCGCCCATATAGCTCAGGCAGGCGCTACAATCCAGTGAGAGACTGCGCAAGCCGCACACGCCCGTTGGTGAGGCCCTGGCCATCGCTCGGATGTCCATTCCCTGTGTTTTTGTTTCGGTTTTGTGCGTGGTATTTTCGCCAAATGATCAAGGATGCTCCTCGATGGTCCTCGCCGGAGGAATGAGGCACACGTCCGATCGATGCCAAGGGCCTGGCCGATGGATCGGCGGCAGCGCCTCGACACGGGCCTCGGGCAGTGGAGGGGATGCAAGCTTACGGGCGGCACGCACGACGCGCCAGCCCGGCGGTACTCTGAGCCACGGCGAGAGGAACGAGGGATGCAGGCTCCAGCGGCGAGCTCGCATGGAGCCTGCGGGGCGAGGGCAGGGAGGAGGAACGGGGGACAGCGAGAGAGAGAGCCAACGCGGAGGGATATGCAAGGCGCAGAGATAGGAAGGAAGGGACAGAGAAGGGAGAAGGAGGGAGAGGGGGAGCGAGGCAAGGGGAGGGGGAGGGGGAGGGGGGAGCAGGCTGCGAGACAGGGAGGGACGCGGGCAGGGAGGGGAGGGGTGGACGGGGGTAGCCAAGCTAGGTGCGCTCGCGCCATATATGACATCTTACTCCTCACACCTATCCCTTCCCATTGCGCTGACAGTTTCTCTATCCGCGCCCGCGTGTCATAGTGGACCTGCACCTCCCCCGCCAGAAACTCCTCGTATTACGCGCAGTCTGAGAAGAGAAGCTGCGTACAGAGGAGGTGGAGGTGGCAGACGAGCAGGAAAAAAGGAGTAGGACGAGGAGGGATGAGGCGGACGAGGACGAACATCAATATCAGGAACTGGACCGGAAGGATCGGGAGGAGCAAGAGGACCAAGGGAAGGTGGAGGGGGAATGAGGGGAACGACAACGATGAGGGACTCGGATCCAGAAAAGTGGCCCGCGCTGGGGGGAGAGCGCCGATCTAAACGACGGGAGTAAAGCCCCGAGCCTAACATGAGGCCCACGCTGCAGTGGGAACACCATCTTGGAGCACCAAGAACAAGCGGAGTCCAGAACGCCTTGAGAAAATAAATGGTGTGCAAATTCAATGCAGCAACCAATTGCGCGGAGAGGGCCGGGAATCTTCTGGACGGGGTCACGGGATACAGGATAGCAGCACGGTGTGGGCATTGGATAAGGAAGCCACTGGAACTCCAGGGTCTCCAAATATGGAAGGCATAAGGAAGCAGCGGATACGGAAGCCATAAGGAAGCAGCAGATACGGTGTGGGCAGCGGATAAGGAAGCCATAAGTAAGCAGTGGAGCATCGGAGAAGGAACCCTTAGATCAGGCATCCAGGGCCTGGAAGCCAGTGGAACTCCGATCGAGGCCTGGCCCTGGACATCACCGCCGCCCTCATCAGATCAGGAACCCTCCAGGGTCTGAGGCCTCCAGGAAGAGGAGGAGGAGGAGGAGGAGGAGGAGGAGGAGGAGGGCCTCCACCGCATGCGCGACGTGACATCGCAGACGCCACGCCTGCCGACTCCGAAGGACGAGGCTCCGTCCTTCTCGGACCCCCCTGCGCCCCCCCCGTCGGCGGAGAGCTGCAGCGTTGTGGTCTCCTCCTCGGGGGGGGGAGGAGGAGCAGGAGGAGGAGGAGGAGGAGGAGGAGGAGGAGGAGGAGGAGGAGGAGGAGGGCCCCCAAGAGGCCCCGTCTCGTCTCCCTCTTGGGCCCGATATGCAGCGCTGTCGCCCCGAGGACAGCAGCACACTCACGGCCCTGGGGGCCACGGGCGCAAGGAGTCCGAGGCCCGGGGTCAAGTGTGGACGCCCGAAATGGGCCGTACGGAACGAATGGGTACGATGCCCAACAACAAATGTTGTCCCAAATTAACAGCGGCCGCTGTTGGGCAGGCGGCATTCTGCCTCAAATGGACACATGCCGCGGCGGCCGGACAGCGAGGCCTGTTCAAAATGAACAGGAGCTGCTGTTGGGCATCGTACCCATTCTTTCCGTACCCATTTCGTCCGTGCAGGTCCAGGGCCACGTTCGGGGACCTACTGACCCGGGGCGATCCAGACCAGGATCAGTCAGGCATTGCCAGGCTCCTGCAGGCTCCTGCAGGCTCCTGCGCCCCAGCCCGGGCCGGTGCAGCCCTGGCTCTGCCGGATCCTGCAAGATCCGGCGCCCTGACAGACTCCCGCGTGCAGTGACCCCCGTCCCCCGGAGCCCCTATGGGCGAGCGCGCTCCACTGCTCGCGAGGTATGGCTGCTCGCAAAGGGCCTGGACCCGCCGAGGGCGGATCTTTTCGACTACTTGCATCGAAACAGATATGTGATTGTTGTTTTTGTCCCGGACGCTTGCGAGTAGGCACTTTGCGCGTAGGGCCGTTCCCTCGCCCCGTCGCCATGCGAACTGCGCCACTGGGGCCTTCGGTGGAGCTCCCGGTGGGGCCGCGACACGTGCGCAGGATGTCTCCAAACGGGGCGGCGGCGCCAGGCGAACTGCGCCACTGGGATCTTAGGTGGAGCTCCCTATGGGGCCACGAAGCGCGTGAGGGCTGCGCCAAGGGAGCACGCTGGGTGAGCCCCGACGCGTGGCATCCTCCGCTCGACCAGCCCGCTCGACGGGCCCGCTCGACGCCCTGCGCCCCCCCCGCGCCTCGAGACGCGCCGAGGCGCCGGGGCTCGCGGCGCCGGCCCTGGCAGGGCCCCGGCGTCGCCGCCCCTACGGGAGCAGGGCAGCAGGAGCCGCGGGGCACACGGCGGCCACGGCGGGGAGGGGGAGGAGAGGGGATGGGGAGGGGAGGGGAGGGGAGGGGAGGGGAGGGGAGGAGGAGGAGGAGGAGGAGGAGGAGGAGGAGGAGGAGGAGGAGGAGGAGGAGGAGGAGGAGGAGGAGGAGGCGGAGGAGGAGGAGGAGGAGGAGGAGGCGGCAGGAGCTCGATCACAAGGAACCTTGCACAAGAGGAACAGCCCTGCGACCGCAGGACGTGCATGCGTTTGAGGTGTGGGAGCGTCACGCTCCCCGTGGCGAAACCACCGAAACCCGAGCAACTCAAGGCACCCTGGAGGCAAGCATCTGTTTCTTGGCATGGGCTTCCAATAGGGGAAGAGCAGGGGAGGAGACGGAAGAGGAGAGTTCGGGCGAGGGATGGGACGGGGGACGGGGGCGGACAGGAGTAAAGCAGGGGAGGAGACGGAAGAGGAGAGCTGGGGCGAGGGAGGGGAATGGGTGGCGAGGGAAAGGCCTTCCAGTAGATCTCCTTGTAGCGGAGGATGAGGGGGTGCTCCTTCTGCAGTTTCCGTGACCTCGCCCACGCCCGTCAGGGGCCAAGCCAGGCCAGCCCCGCTCCCCCCTCCGTGAGGTCTGGCTATCTCCCCTGCCTCCCGTGCCCTCCCTCCTGCCTCGAGCCTCCTGCGGCTCCCCTGCTCGTGGTGCCGCTGCTGCTCATCCCCGTCGTCCGCCACCACCAATCCTCTTTGCCCCTTGACCTCCGCCCACTCCGCAGCCATGGCAACCGCCTGCGGCTCCTTCGCTCCCCCGCACCGTTGCCCCCCCGCTCGCCCGCCCAAACCCTGCCCTCAGCCGAAATTTTGCAGATCGTGCCCGGACATCTCGTGAGGCCTCTCCACCGTGCCAATCCCGCAACGGATGAGCAACACCATACAGAAGCACTCAGCATCCCATGGAGAGGTAAGGAGGCACCGCGGTGCCGCAAGCTTCGGGGCAGGATGCGACCGAATCAGGTCCTTTCCCCCCAAAAAAACCTTCTCTCCTCCATCTCCCCCTCGCCCTCCTGCAAGGTCTCCGCCTCCCCTCTCCTAGAGAACTCCTGGATGGGGTCGGAGCAGGTGGGGTCGGAGGATCGCGACGTATCGCCGATGCATCGGCGATGCATCGGCGATGCACTTGCGATGCATCGTCGACGTCGGCGATGCATCGGCGACGTTGACGTGAAGCAAAGCGGGCTGCACGTCGAGCCGCATCGGCGATGCATCAGCGATGCGGCGCGATCCTCCGACCCCATCTACTCCGACCCCATCTAGGAGGCTTAGATCTCCTCACCTCTCCGTCACCAGAGCCCCAGAGAGGGGTCGTCCTGGTATGGTAGTACAGCGTCTCGCCGTCCTCGTTGACCAGCTCCTTCCAGTCGGGCGGCACCGCGGCCCGCGAGGCCTCCTCCGCGATCCACAGGAACCTGCCCCGCGCCAGGCTGCCGCAACGCCCTCGCTGCTTTACGCCGTTCGCCGCGCCGATGCTCGAGCCTTCACAATTCTGGAGGCCACAAAGGACGTACGCGCCCAGCTATGTACATGAACACGGCCCCTCGATCCGCGAGACCGGCCGCGTGATACGAACATTTGCACAATGCGTGCTCTCGAAACCAGCGTGGATTCATGTACATGTACGTCCTTCTTTCGCTCCTGAACAGTAACCCGAGTCACGGCTGGACCCCGCCGGGGCTCACTCACATGGCGCCCCGGTGTCGTCGGGTATCGTCCCAGTCTCGGCGCGATGTCGCACTCCTCCGGGCGGGGGTCCCCGTGAAGGCACGTCTGCACTGCACCTTACCGGTCAGGCCTTCATTGCCACTCGAGGTGCACCACGAGCTGCTTCCGTATGGTTTACAACCGTGGGTGCCGAGGCCACGGGTGGGAACAGTGCTCCTTCCTGCCCCCGATCATCGATAAGAAGACAGAGCGCTGCTCCCAACAGGTCGAAGCCGAGGCCAGCGAAACATTGACATCAGGGCCGACACCAGACACTCTACTGTGGCCCAGAAGTGTATTCCCCAAGACATGCTAATTCCCATGTAACTTCTGCGTCGCCAAAACGCTCGCTTTTGCACTGCTAGCGGTGCGGAAGTATGTCAACCGGCGACGGGTAAAGCTGACAACCTGCAGAGACATGACTCCTTTTGGATCTGCTTCGCTGGCGCATAGACGTCGTGTGGCAGATTAATGCAATGGCGAAATTCTGGCCACATGCTTACCGTTCCACTTGTTTCCCAAAAAGGTTCACCGACTACCTTGCGGCGGAGCTTGTTCTTCTAAGCTCAAGCCTCCCATTCCTTCAACCCCCTGCAACTGAGAGACATGAATTCTTGGAAGGCCACTATAGAAGAACACCGCCGTTCATGATGGCCCTACGATAACCCTCAGAGGGCCCATGATGGCTGCAACATCGCGGCAAGATATGCCGCAATCTATTCCGAGTTGCCTCATCGATGGTCCAACCCACTCACCATACAGCCCAGGAAGCACATCATGTTGCCCAACATGGCTGAGAAGGCATCCTCGGGCTCCCCTCTAAGAGGGAGAAAGGCAAAGACGCGCAACATGGCCTTGAAGAATGTTCGCATCATTGCGCTCTCGAGCTTCTGCGGGCTTCTCAGGCCAAAGGGTGCACGTAAGACCAAGAGCCAAGAACCAAAGGCACGAACTGCTCCAAAAGACCCGGAGAAACCCTGAAAGGCTGAAGTAAGGCAAATCGTTATTCAGAATGCCCCGATTGAGGTAAGTGTGCAAGCTGATTGCAATAGGGTCCCAAAAGGGCCAGCAGGGCTCACGGATAGACCTGAGAAGGACCAAGATAATCTCAAGAGTGCCATGGGATAACACAGCAGCCAAGATGTCCGGACGCCGGGATTCACGCAAACCTTGCTACACCTTACATAAGCCAGCCGCCGAATTGTGCGGTAGGTTAATGTCAAAACCGCTGAGGCCCTTGAAACTAGTGGTCGCTTATTGACCAAAACAAAACAACGCTCCCCTGAAACAAAAAACACGTAGCACCACAGTTGAACCTGCGTAGCTCCTGATAGAGAGAGGGAGAATAACTAGCGTTGTCTGTGAAGGAAGCCCCGGTTCCCCAGAGCGTATCCCTGTCATAGCCGCGGGCCTCAGAATAGGCCCCAAACTGATGGCAACAAAAACAAAAGTGAACACATACAAATTCTGGCCCTCGACGGCACAAGAACGGAAAGCGTCTGCCTCCTGACTCTCCTCGGACTTCCTGCGCTGTGTTGCGTGCTCAACCTCGCTAAGCGATTCTACCGCCGCGCATCGCCAAATCGACCACGCCTGCGCACATGGCACATTGGGTCAAATTCATTACCACGTTCTGGCCACGCACCCGCGTCTATTCCGCTGCTGCGTTTCCTGACGGCCTATCTAGAAACTCAGATTCCAGGTCCATTTGTTCACCCTGCCCCTGGGGAGGAACTGCGGCTCGTTCTTGATGTCCATGCCAATCATCTCAGCGATGCCTGTCGTAACTACTCTTCCCACATTCTCTAACTGACCGCATGGCTCGTGAACGCGCGGGAAGATACACCGCGCCGGAAGGCCATCGTTCTGGGGATGGGCATGACCACACGGAACCAACTGCAATTGCACGAACGTGGGCACTCCCGATGCTCCCACTCTGGACTCCTTCGACGACACCGTGGGAGACATATGGCACCCGCTTAGTCACGTGTCGCAGCTGGCAATAGGTAGCAGTCCCAATCTCCTGACGGTTCTATTATACAAAGAAACACCAACGTCGCCTCGTCGGAACAGACCTCGTTGCTCGGCCCGTTGGCAAGCATCTGCCGAACGCCCTCGGCGGGCCCAAGATCCGTTCAGAATGTTTGCCTGCGTGGACCCCATACCAGGGCGGTGTGTACTATGAATGCACGATGTGCGTGTTGGTGCCCATCACGAGGATCAAGTTCAATGTTGCAAGCTGTGTGGTGCAATCTGTGTTGTGAAAACCATGTGGAGCAGGCTATTCGGTGCAAGCTTTGTGGTGCAAGCTATGTTAAGCAAACTCTGTCGCGCAAACTATGTGGTGCAGGCTATGTGGCACAAGCTGTGCGGTGCAAGCCATGTGGCGCAGTGCAAGGTATTAGGTGCAAGATCCGTGGTGCAAGCAATGTGGTGCAATACACGTTTGCCAACTCAGGAATTGTCAGCTCCATTGCTCGCGAAATTATTCCACCCTCCCACCCGCAACTTGTGTGCAAAATCCATCTGGCGGCGATTATGACGACTGCTTGGCCCTGGCTAGTGCGTCTCTGCGGCCGTGCTGTCGCGCAAAAGCTGGCGCGCAGAGCGGCCCCGATGCCGCTTACCGATGGCAACTTCCCAGCGCGACTCGAAGGCCGCGCTGTCGCGCGGGCACCTCAATGTCGGTCGCTGGCTCGGGCGGACGCGGTATCACGACGACGTCGACAACGGCGGCACCGATTATGATAGTAGCGATGGTGATGGCGATGGTGGCGAAGACGACGGCAAGTCTAATGGCGACGCCAATGCTGGTAACGCCAAGGACGATGCTGATGTCCATGTGTCGATGGTGAAGGTGCCTGTCGATGACGCTGACGTGATGCGGCAGCGCTGGTGATGGCAATGGGGAGGAATGGCGCGCGCGCGGAAACCTTAGCGCCCCTGCAAACATGTTGTTGAAACGCAGCTGTTTCTGTTCATACGCGTTTGGAAAGTTCCATGTTGAATTGCTTCGATAACCAATGGTTTTGGACAGATTTCGACACGCTCGCGTGGTAGTACGCGCGTGTGACCCACAAAACAATATTTGATACGGGCTCGTGCGCTGGACGCATGCTGGATCAACGTGGGTGCAGCGCGTGGTGACGTGAGAATGCGGGTTCTGGGCGAGACTGCTGACATCATATGGTGTTCGTCTGACCTCAGCAACTGCGCGCGAACATATCAATGTGCATAACTATAGGCAATGAAATCATGAAGCACCTACTACCTAATGTGTGCTGATGTTTGCTTTATGATGGTGCGCTTGCAGAAATTGTATGATAGGTGCGGCTTCGACATGTGCGCGCGCGTGTGGGCTTCGTCTCGTTTCCTGCACGGGGGAGATTTGGGCAGATTTTATTTTTTATGTTATGGTTTTTCCCTCGAACGGGGGAGATTGGGAAAACACCTCTTGCGATAAACGTGCGCGCGCATAGAATTATCTGGCAAGGCTGATGCTGGGGGGGGGGCGATACCCGGTATGCCTGGCATGGTATGCACCCGGCTGCCCCGATACGCAGCACGTAGCCCGTAGCGTGTGGAGACGGAGCTCAAACCGTCGATTGAAACCGCAGGCCCGGCGCCAGACGTTCGCCAAAACGTGGGACAAGACGTGCGGAGCCAACACGAAGCTGGAGACCTCCTAGATGGGGCTCGAGTAGAAGGGGTCGAAGGATCGCGCCGCATCGCCAATGCACCGTCGCTGTATCGGCGATGCATCGACGACATCGGCGACGCATCTGCGACGTCGGCGTGGGGAAAATCGGGCTCCACATCGGGCCGCATCGTCGACACATCGGTGATGCGGCGCGATCCTTCGACCCCATGTGCTCGGGCTCGGACCCCATCTAGGAGACCTTGAGCAGCGTGCTCAACCCGGACGTTTCGAACACAGCACGTCTTGCCTTCCAACACGGGCGTACCAGGGCAACTGGGGGTACGAATTCGTATGTGAAAAGGAGCGATGAAGCAGGATTAGATCTTGTCCCACCAGCCTATTGGGCTAAGGTGGTCTAGCGAGTTCTTGCTTCATTCTTCCGGGAGGAGGGGTACCAACCCCCTCCCCCGCCTGAGTTTTCCTGGGGTGGGCCGCGATCGGCTAGGGCGCCCACGATGGCCCAAGGTAGCTCCAAGAGGGTCTCCGATGCTCCAAGGTGACCTTCAAGGCGGCACCAGATTGCGAAATCTGGTCCAAGATCGTTTCAGACATGCCTCCAAGAGGCCCGACGAGGGCCGCAAGACGGCTCCAAGTGCTCTCGGAGCCCCTTCAAGATCCCCCCCAGAGTTAAGTCGGGCGTGTCCCCCCTACAGGGGGGTTTTCGACGAAAAATAAAACATTCTCCAAAAATATTCCGAAATTGTCAGAGAAGATTCAAACCATACTCCCAATACCATTTTTTTGAACTATGATTGAATATTCTCCCTGGAGAGGAACAGGCCCGACTTAACCCCAGAGGCCAAAATCCTTCCAAAGCCTACGGAGCATCAATGATTTGCGCCTTCTCGCCATTTCGCTTCCGGATGCGCTCTTGAGGCCTGGAAATGGCCCCATGATGGCCCAGGAGAGCCCCACGATGGGCCCAAGAGGCTCCCAAGACGGCCTCAAGAGCGCCCAAAGGCGGCCCAAGAGCACCCCAAGAGGCGACGTTGATGGCCCCTGGGGGGGGAGGCAAATCGAAGACCCCCCTCTCTTGATCGATAGGCTCAAAGATGACCTCAAGAGGCCCTCCAGGGCCCAAAAGAGGCCCCCAAGAGGGCCCCGAAAGATGGCCCCAAGGTCCCGAGACCCTCCCAAAAGAGCCCAAAGAGGACCCCAGGATCCCCCAAAGAGCCCCAAGAGGGCTCCAAGCGGCGGTTTGAGGGCTTTGTTCTTGTCCTCGTTGTCCTCCTCCTCACCCTCCTCGGCCTCGTCCTCGTCCTTGCCCTCTTCGTCTTCCTTTTCCTTTTCCTCCTTTTCCGCATCGTCGTTGTCGTCGTCCTCCTCCTCAACCTCCTTCTCCTCCTCCTCCTCTTCCCTCTCCTCTTCCTCCTTCCCTCGCCCCCACGCGGGCCCCAGGGATGGCCCGCAGAGGCCCTCTAAGGCCATCCCCTTGCTCCAGAGATCTCTCTGTTCAACTAATTGCCCGCTCTATTTCACTATATGTGCCCCTTCGTCCCTTTTCACGTCGGCTCTCATAGGCAGGGCTTCTGGATGGGAGGGTGGAGATACGCGAAACGCTACGAGTCTTTATATTTTCACAGAAGGGGGTACCGATAAGTCTGGGGGAGGAGGGTGGTAGAGCCCATTCTTCTTTTGCGCCGACCCAACTGGGGAACCCAAAAGGTACCGGCACTGCTACTCCCCGGACCTCTCCCGGGGTTCGTTCTGACCAGCATTTCGAGGCGAATCCAGCGGTGGACCGAGGCAGCACACGAGGTGCCCATGAGGCGCCCACCATGCGCGCGCAAGGCGAACGCTCGGGCGAAGTAATGTGAATGAAGGGGGTGGGGGGATCCGGACGGAGGACGCGGGCATGGAGAGAGCAACGAGAGAGAGAGGAGAGAGCGAGAGAGAGTAGAGAGAGAGAGAGAGAAAGAGATGGAGGGAGACAGAGGGAGGACAAAGCATGTGCTGAGGACGACGACAATGGCGCCGACGACGAGGCCAAAGCTGGGGATGAGCATGCTGACGGGCCCGCAAGGACTGACCGTCAGTTCCTACGGGCCTGAGGAGACGGAGTTATGCTCGTCGGTTAGGCTGACGATGGGGTCCAAACGGCGAGCGGCACGCGTGCCCGTTGTTGCTGACACGCCTCCAACATCAACCCTGGCTCGAGGACGAGCGCAGCTGATTTCCAGAAGCGCAGATGCGGCTCGCTCCCGTCAAGCACCTTTGTGCTTCTGCTCGCCTCTGCGACCTACCCCATCAGGCCGACGACCGACGCATGCCATGAGCGTGGTCTTCCCGCAACGATCCAGTCGAGCCCGGTCGCAGAGCAAGCAGCCGAGCTCTGCTGCTTCACAGGGGGACAAGAACCGACAGAAGCACAATTAACAGCTCGGAGGTCTCCGCACGGATGTCTCGGGTCGGCGGAGTTTCCGAGCGCTCCAGGAGCGGCGCCAGAGGCGCTGCCACGGGGGCCCAACTGAAGGGGCCCAGGGAACACACATAAATACACACAAATAACCAGATTCCCATATGTTTTCCTATATCTTCTGGGTCTCCGTCCTCCCCCCCCACTTCCCACATCTTCCCATATTTTCTGGGGAATCGACGATTCAGTGTGTCTGTGTGTTCTCCCCCTCCTGAACGTTCAACGCCGAGCCGAGGCATCCGCGCGGACCTCCGAGGTCTGGTTCTCATGGCACTGCCTACGAACGGCGGCAACCGAGAAACCCGCGCGGACCTCCGAAGCCCCCTCCTCCTCCTCCTCCTCCTCCTCCTCCTCCTCCTCCTCCTCTTCCTCCTCCTCCTCCTCCTCCTCCTCCTCCTCCTCCTCCACCCCCTCCTCCTCTTCCTCCACCCCCTCCTCCTCCTCCTCCTCCTCCTCCTCCAACTTCTACTCCTGGGCCGCGGGCGGCCTACGAACGCCTCCGCGGAGTTGTCGCGGCCCGCGCCGTCGAACGGCGGGATCGCCGTCAGGGAGCCCTGCGCCATGCCCCCGGGGTGGTGCAGCAGCGCGCCTCGCAGCGGGAGGGGCAGTCGTGTCAGGGAGGGGGCCCCGATCGGAGGCACGCCGTCGGAACGCTGCCATACGGAACCCGGAGCAGGGAGCGCGGCCCCCCCCCTGTTCCATACAGTCGGAGCGGTGGCCCAAGGAACCCTGAATAAGGAACGAGGCCCCTTAGATCCACAAGTTGGACTTCGATTTCCCATCGAAAACCGAAGCAAAACCCAAGACAAACTGTGAAGCAATCAAGGAACACGGAGCCCCTCCCCAACGAAAAGGGTTCCTTCTTCGGGGCCCCGACTGTAGGTCAAACTTCGATTCCCCACAGAAAGCCAGAAAAAAGAACATCGAAACCAACCTGACAACAATGAACGAACACTGGGCCCCTCCCCAACGGAACGGGTTCCTTCTGCAGCGGCCCGAGTGTAGGGGGGAGGCGCAGGGGGAGGCGCAGGGAAGCAAGAGTTTTCGTGATCTGCCATTTCCGTATCCCGCCCTGCCCTCCGACCCCAGCTTGGCACCTCCGTGTGAGACGGAATGGCTCGGACGGGCTCTGTGTCTACCCATGGGGAAAGGGGCGCACTGGCTGGAGGCGTCTGCCAAACCTGCAGGAGGCGTGTGTCCCGCCAGCACCTGAAGGCCGGAGGCGGGGTAGACAAGAGTGGTGCCCAAGAACGCCCTCTGCCTGGCGCTGTCCACCGCTACTCCTCTCTTTGCCTCCCTTCCATCCCCCAATCGGCATTCCTGCTTCTACCCCCTCTGGTTATTCCCTGGACTCTCGATCCACTGGCTCATCCGTGGTCAAAGCGAAGGCGGCAAAAACGCGCGCGGAACGCGGCCTCGAGCGCGCTGTCCAGCCTCCCGGGAGTGCGTCTGAAACCGCCGAGGCCAGCGCCCAATGCGTGTAAAGGTATCGCTTCACCAGAATAGAGCTTTGCTGTGGAGGGGTCGCGCGTGGCCCCATCCCGCCAGCGCAGCGAGTAATGAAGGCGACGACCGTCTCACCGACACATTCAGACGTAAAGCCAAGATGATTTATTCGCTACCAACAATGATGATGACCATGGCGGCACTCGCATTCTTGCTGTTGCGCGCGCCATCGACGAGGGGTTACAATGATTATATGGCCTGAACCTGCGCAACCTACACTGAAAAACGGGTGCTGGAGGTTTGTGGGGTGGTGTCGCAGTGAAACGGAGTACTCTTCACTAGGACGTCGGATTTCGGCTTCGGTTCGTGTATCTGGTGTGGGCGACGCGAATGTGCGCAATATCCTCCCATGGCAAAAGCACATACCAATCAAACGCTCCCCACACCCTTCCCATGGTAAACCAACCACCCCTCCCGTTCCTGCCGCGTGTCCCTGGGGCTGTGCCGCCGTGACCCTGTGGCTGTCCCGCGGCCCGCCGGATTTCCCCACCGCTGTCTCATTGTTCTCCTGAGGTTGTCCTGTGGCTGTCCCACAGCAGTCTCGCAGTACGGTGGCCTGTGCGTTTCAGTGCAGTTCGTCGTGCAGTTGTGTGCGGTTGTGGCAAGGCTATTCCGTGGTCCGACAAGTAGTCCCACCAGCCATCTGGGCGTGGCTTGGAGAGCTTACGCTTCCAACCTCCCTCTGCCCCTTCGGGGAGGGGTTCACCCCTGCTCCCCCCCCTCTGCGCCTGGACGGGATGGGGGCGGGCGCGATGGGGCAGAGCTTGACACACTGCCCAAGATGCCTCCGATGGGGGCCCGAGGAAGCGCAAGATGGCTAAGATAGCCTACGATGGCTCAATGATACATCCACCATGCTTTTAAGAGGCCGCAAGACCCTCCCGAGTCGGCTCCAAAAGGCCACGACGACTCACAAAAGAGATCTCCGAGAGGTCAAACTCGTCCAAACACATGGTATGCTCTGCTACGTTCTGCAGCTGTTCGTCTTGTTTCGCTTTCGGTGAGCCTTTGAGGTCTCAACATGGCCCCAAGATAGCCCAAGAGAGACCCAGGAAGGAGGGGCTGAGAAGAGGTTCAAAACGGCCTCAAGAGCTGTCAAGAGCGCCCCCAAAAGGCCCCGAGACCCACGAGGCGATTTGCCGTGTCCCAGAAGGGCAGCGCTAATCCGCGCCGCCCAACTCTCTTTCGATCGATGGCCTCCAGGATGACTCCAAGAGAAGAACCCAGAAGGCCCCTAAAAGGGCCCCAGGAGAGCCCCTAGGGGAACCCAAAGGCCCCCAATGGGGGGCCCCCCAGAGAGCTCCAGGATGGCTCTAAGAGGCCACCAAGAGGCTCCAAGAAGTCTCAAAAATCATGATTGTCTGACTTGTTGGTTACGTTATACGCTTATCGATCGCTCTTCTCCCGACAACTCGCCTGCGCATCGCCAAACCTACGGTGGACCACAGCCGTGAGAGCCAACCAAGCGCCGGGTGGCGTTGGCCGCGTAAAACATATGACGGCACGCGTGGGTGGGTGCGGAGCAAGGCAAGGAAAGACGCTGCGAGGCTATGGTATCGCGAGGCTGGGGGGCTTTAGTATTCCAACCACTATCTTTCGCCCGTCCTCCGCACGACTGGGCACAGCCCCACCCAACACCTCCTTGGGTCTCAAGATAAGCACCACCCAGACGGATCGAGATGGCCTCCAAATTGCTCCAAAGCGCTCCACGATGACCTCAAGCTGGCTTAGACGGCTCCAGGTGGCCTCCACACGGCCCCAGATAAGCTTCAGATGGTCCAAGGTGGCATCAAAAAACGCAATTCAAGCCCTCAACACGGTCCAAGAGGGCATCACGAGGCTCTCCAGGAGGGCCCCAAGAAGTTCGCTCTTCGCTGTTTGGACAGGCTTTGGCGTTCTCGCCGTTCGGGCTTCTGTCGGGAAGACGCAAGACTCGGGCTCGGAGGACTCGGGTTGGCCTGACGGTGACATCATGAAGATGACGAGACCCATTCCGAAATTTGGCGCGAGCTCCCGCTGCACACATCCCACGAAAACTGGACCGCCAACATCCAGGACGCGCTCGTCAGAAGGCGTCGACAGACGGGTTGGCGTGACGGCGACATCATGAAGATGACGAGCCCATTCTGAAATTTGACGCGAGCTCCCGCTGCATACGTCCCACGAAAACTGGACCGCCAACATCCAGGACGCGCTCGTCAGAAGGCGTCGGCAGACCCGAGTTCTGGCGCACCCGGGTCTTACGCTCCCCCGATCCTGGCAGCCCAAAAGCGCCTACCATGAAGGGGCACCAGGACACACAAATAAGCACACATACATAAACATATTCCCCATAGTTTCTTATATGTTGTGGGTTTTTGTCTTCCCCCCCCCACTTCCCATATTTTCGCATATTTTCCTGGGAGTCGACAATTAATTGTGTCTGTGTGTTTCCTTCCCTCCTGATACCAGGCCCCAAGAGGACCCCAAGGCGGCCCAAGAGGCAGCCGAAGCCCCCGCAAGACTGTGCGAGAGGGCTCCGCGAGGCTCCCCAGGAGGGCCCAAAGAGAAGTTCGCCCTCCGCTGCCTGGGGACCTCTTTGGCGGTCTCGCCGCTCGGGCTTCGGGCAGCACAAGACCACCTGACAACGACAACGATCACGACGATCACAGCGATTACTGCGGGATGACGATTAATAAAAAAATGTGAGAGAACGGTTAACACATAGTTTTCTGTTATTTCTGCATAATTTTCTGACTGGAGGAGAACAATAAGAAAATAAATAGTTTTCCAGCCTGCGGCCGGTTTTTTCCAATCGTCATCCTGGGCGCCGCCGCGTGAACACGACCCCTGGTCATTTATTAATCGTCATCCTCCATTACTACGATCACAGCGATCCCGACGATCACAACGACCACCACGATCGCAACGAGTCCCCGATTCTTGCGTGTCCCTGACTCTGGCAGCCCGAGGCCGCCCACCAGGCCCCCCGCGATGGCCCAAAAAGGCGGCCCGAAAGGCTCCCAAGAGGACCCTTGGACGACAGACGAGGGCCCGAGGACCGCCCAAGATGCACCCCAAAACGGCCACCAGGGGGCACCAACTCAGGCGCCAAGAGACCTCCAAGAGGCCTCCCCTCCTCCTCCTCGTCCTCCTCCTGACGTCGACGCCGAAGCATCCATGTTGAGAACAAAGACGTCGACGTTGGAATGGCTTGACCAGTACAATTGGCCCCACCACTGAACTGGGCCCCTATCGGCCAGCTGCATGGCCGAGCGTGGGTATACACGTATAGACAACCCAAGAGGGCCAGGATGTATGGAGGTCAAAACTGGGCTTCGAGGGATGGGATATGTGTGGGAGGGGGGAGGCAACGAGCTAGAAGAGATCAATGAGCTGATGTCCGATGTGGGACCTGTTGCAATCCGAGAGCTGCACCCACATCCCCCGGAGAAGCAACAGCCGTGCAAGTATGTCGAGAACTTATCTTAAGCAACCACTGGTGGAGATGCCCCCCAGCTGGGCAGCAGAGGAAATTCAACACACGCGTGAACGCGGACAACGCAGAAAACACAATGAACACCCCGAAGTGTGATGTATGGGACCGAATAGCCGCACGTGGGTAACAACCAACAACCTTCCAGACAGATCTCTCAGAGTCCGCACTAGCGTTCGCTATTGACCCCTGGGTCCCTCCAGACTTTCGGGCCGACAACTGCAATGGCGGGAGCGCAAAGCGTGAATGATTCGCTTCGAGATTAGACGGCCGCGGCAGCGTCCAATTCCATGACGTCTTGAGAAGGAGAGGTAAGGAGGAGGGGAGGTGCGAGGAGGGGCAAGGCAAAAGGCGGCGGAAATCACTTGGAAGACACGCACATCTTGTCCACGTGAGCCAACGTTGCTGCCTCATCCGCCGGGGAGCCCAAAGAACACGCTTTGAGTTCGCCGTTCTTACCTGAGGGCCAGAAGACTCCAATGCGACGTCCTGCCAAGATCCTGCTTGCGTAGCCCCGCGCGCAGCCACAGGAGGGAACGCCAACAAACTTTACATCCCTCTTACGCTAAGCCTCCGAAGCCTCTCACGGCGCCCCGAGATCCCGATTCCAACTTCCGTCTTTTGAGACATGGTCGACCCACGAAGCCGGACAACTACACACAAGCACACACACACGTTCACACACACACACACACACATTCACACACACACGCACATTCACACACATTCACACGCAGATTCACACACATTCACACCCACATTCACACACACGTCACACACATTCACACACACACACATTCACACACACACACACACATTCACACACACATTCACACACACACGCACACACATATATCTATATGTATGTATGTATATACAAGACGCCCTCCTTGAGCCAGAAGCAATTTCAATGTTCGATGTCAATTTCCTGAAAATTCGGCGCTGGACCCGCACGCACGAATCCTTGCAAATGACGCTGCGTCCGCGCTCGCAAGGCCGCGATCCCTCGTAAGTCTCGCTGGGTCCGCGGTCCCAAGAGCAATGTCCATTGTACCCCAGGGCAGCGTTCCTTTGTAAATTACGCTGGGGTCACGCTCCCGAGGCCACGATCCCTCGTACATTGCATTGCGTCCGCGCTGCCAGGGCCACGATCCGTAGTAAAGCACGCTGCGTCCGCCCTGCCAGGGCCACGATCTTTTTTCCAAGTCACAATGCGTCGGCGCGTCCAGGGCCAGGATCCATTGTAAATTACACTGCGTCCGCGCCCCCAGGGCCACGGTATGTGGTGCATCACGCTGTGCCCGCCCCCCAAGGGCCACGATCTCTTGAAAGTCACGATGCGCCCGCACTCCTATGGCGAGGAAGCTCCTGTACATTCAACTGTGCCCGCGCTCCCAGGCCACGACCCCCCCCGTAGACTACGCCGCGTCCGCGCCCCCAGGGCCACGATCCCTCGAAAATCCACCCCCCCATGCCGTTTTTTCACCGTTTCCCAAAAAATGTCCCTTGGAAATGGAAACGGCAAAAAAACGGCTCCAGGATCGGGACCGGAGCCGGAACCGGTCAAACAACGGCGACGGAACTGGTAAAACAACGGCGTTGGAACCAGCCAAAAAACGGCAGAACGGAACCGGTAAAAAAACGGCCCTGTCGTTTCCAGGGCCCACTAAGTGTCCGCCCCCCCAGGGCCACGATTCTTTGTAACGCACGATGCGTCCGCGCTCCGAGGGCCAGGACCCCCCGTGCACGATCCCTCGCAAATGACTGTGCGAGCGCACTCCCAGAACCAGTTAGGCATCCTGGGGCGCCCAGGCCCCTCAAGGTTTGCAAGACAAGCGCGACGCTCGAGACATCCTCGCGAAACCTGCGCGCAGGGCACGCCATCCTCGAGCGGGCACGCGGAAACACACAGTACCCTTTCGTTTCCTAAAGGAATATTAAAACTCCGGATCTCGTACGCCCGGCGCTTTTTTACCAAAGGAAAACGAAGGTCCGCGGACCCCTGAGACGGAGGGCGCACTTTCATCGAGCGGACACGCGCGAGACGCGTCTTTCCACCTTTAACGAGGCTTTACGTTTATATGTATCGCATGTTAATCCACGAGCCCTCTTCAAGCATAGCACGAATCACATGTTGCCATCTAAAGCAGAACGCTGAGCCCATGCCGCTGCTGCTTCCAAGAAAAGCCAATCCCAGCTCAAGTCTTCTTGAATATGCCTCACTGTTGGTCATCGCCCTCCGCTGCTCAAAATCCTTCGAATCCCCAAGAGCCGATTTACGTGCCACCCCTGAGAGTCTGGTGGCCTGCAATTGCTGCAAACATTCGTGATCAAAGCTTCTTGTGTCGTATACGCAAACATTTGCTTCGAAGCTCAATTGAGAACGAGTCATCAGCCCCCCTCTCAGCTCCCTTGTGCTCACCTCCTACACTTGTGACCGGTCCCCGACTGCACGCGGGGCGCGTTGCGCAGGGCGCGTCGCGCGGCCCACAACTTGCTGCCCGAATCCTGGCACGCCACGGTGCGGAGAACCTGGCGGCCACCCAACGGATAACCAAGAAGCACACCACCATGGGGAGGCAACATAACATGATTCCCGGATAAGCACACGAAGAATGCGTAAGCGTGTCACCAGCGTGAGAGCGCAAGCATGGGTCTGATGAGGAAGAGCTGTGGAGGACCTGACTGCTCGACAAGCTGGCCAGGGTGCCCGCGGCGCCCTGCGTTACAAGATTAAGCGGCTGGACGAGGGGACGCGTTCGCAGTGGAGAGATGGGGGTGACACGTGCCCGAGAGGAAATGCAGGATCGGCTTTTATGTGAGGGCTGGAACTGCGGCGGTTATCGAATGAATGCATAAGTACGCGTGGACACGTTCACAGTGGAGAGATTAGGGCAGTACGCGCCGGAGAGAAAAGGTGGAATTGGCTGTTGTGCGAGGGCTGGAGCTGGGGCGGCCATCGAACGAATGCAGAGGTCTGCGCATCCTGCCCTACCAATCATTCGACACCATGACCGCGTCTGTGCCTGCACTCGATGGAGTGAACCGGCGAAGGATTGCAAAAAAACAAAGGATTGCAAAGTAACCTTCGAAGGATTGCAAAAACAACCCTTCGAAGGATTGCAAAAAAAACTTGAACGAAGGATTGCAAAAAAAACCTCCGTACGAAGGATTGCAAAAAAACAGGATTGCAAAAAACATGTTTTTTTTTGCAATCCATGCTTTTTTTGCAATCCTAGGTTTTTTTTGCAATCATTCGTTTTTTTGCAATCCTTCGTGCAAGCCCCTACACCCCCTGAGCCTGCCAGCGCAAGGCCACGCGGCAAGAGCGTGCCACAGGAGGAGCTCCTTGCGGTGAGCACGTGAGGGGCGGAGGCAAGTGCCCTGTTTCTTGACGACGCGCGCGGCAGAGCTTCGGGACCGCCGACCACCTCATTGTCAGCGCGCTCCTCGAGGCGGCGCGAGTGCCTCCTTGCAGCTCGCGGCCCCCTCCGGGCACAGGGAGGGGCCGGCGGCCCTCTCCGCCTACAGACCCGCCGACCCTTCGCCCAGAGAAGGGTAGCCCCGCCGGGCTCCCAGGACCTGCCAGAGCCTGGCGGCGTGGGCGCCGGGCAATGCGGTGACGACACCCGCACCCCGCCCCCAGCCAGTCACCGCCTCGTCCGGATCAATGTGCGGCAGGGTAGGGTTCGGATATCGCCACGTGTCCGACGAATTCCGAGCCCTGCCCCTCACGAGCGGCGCACGTATCCGTACCCGGGCCCTTTTGGCCTGCACTCCCGGGCGCGATCCCGCGGATACGCGGTCTCACGGACACGTTCCACGCGGGGCATCCGCGAAGGAACGCCCCGTCTCCGCGGGGTCGCGGCCCGGGGGGCACGGCCCGCGAGACTGCGGATCTGGATCTGTGGTTTTCCCATCCTGCTCAAGGACCACATCCCAGAAATAATGTCGAGCACCCCGAAGAGTGTCGAAAGAGTGCCGAAGCAGTGTCGAAACAGTGTCGGACGAGTGTATCCCAGGGCCCGACACGTGAAAACCCTTGAATTTCGGTACTCTTCTGGGCGCTCGAAATTCTTCCTGGTGATCAAGGCTAAAGTAGGTTGGAACATCATAAATCTGGACATGTGTTTCGCCCATGAGCCCCCGCCTCCCACCGAGTTGCATGACTCGTTGATCGGCGAGGGTGGGGTTCGGACTTCGCTGCCGAATGCAGGGGACCGGCTCCTCCTCGGCCCCCACGCAGACCCAGGCAGAGGGGGGATCCAGGCAGCAGAGCCTCGAGGAGGAGCGGGGGCCACGGAGAAGGAGGTCACCTCTTCGTTCCCAACGCTCGTTCTCCCTGGGTGCCGCCAGGAGTTCGACTGCCTGCATCTTCCTGGCGTTGCCACGAACATTCGCCAGAAGGTTCGCTCGCCCGGCCGGCAGCGGCCGAACAGCCACGGGGGGCGGTCCGCGGGGATCGCACTGTGCTGGAGCAAGGCCGATGGGGCGGAGGCGGAGGAGGAGGTGGCGGAGGAGGCGGAGGAGGAGGAGGCGGAGGAGGAGGCGGAGGAGGAGGAGGCGGAGGAGGAGGAGGAGGAGGCGGAGGAGGAGGAGGCGGAGGCGGGGGAGGCGGAGGAGGAGGAGGAGGAGGAGAGGGCGGAGGAGGAGGAGGAGGAGGAGGCGGAGGAGGAGGAGGAGGAGGAGGAGACAGCGGCAGGAGGCGTGGCGTTTGGTCCCCTGGCGGCCCCAGACGGCCAGCACCAGAATCCACCACCCGAGCAGGACGTCGCCCTCCCTCGACGATGCCGGGCGTGCAGCTGGCCACGGGCCCTGTCCTGTCGCCCCCGGGGGCGTCCCAGCGGACAGGCGCGGCACGCAGGACCCAGCGGGGCCCCAGCCGCACGCGATCTGCCAGACGTCTTGGGCGACGCTGAGCACGTCCACGGGAATCCACGGTTGATCGACCGTATCCTGGCGTTGTTCGTCCACAGCTGCCTACTTGAAAGTAGCGTGACGTGCGGCAGCTAGGACACCGTTTAGCAGCTCAGCGCGGAGCGGCTGAGGGAATCCACGGTTGATGAAACGCGGGGCGACTGGGTGCTGGACGGCAGGGGCGGCGTTGACCCGTGGAGTCACGGCGGGGCTGATCAGTGTGGAAGGACAGAAGGGAGCGGGCAACATCTGAAGGACGGCACCTGAATTGGACACTGGCCTGAGGGCAAGGAGGCAGTCGCATCCCCAGAGTAGGGAGCAGGGGCCGCCCAGGCGGAGCCACTCGACCAGCAGAGGCTGAGCCCCACCACTAGGGGAACAAAACATGTCACAAACATAAAAAAAACTTGGAGGTCCGCGCGCATTTTTCGCATCGGCGCTGGGGCCCCCCGGCGCCGCCCCTGGCGCGCTCCGCGCGCCAGGGAGGGGGGCCCAGCGCGGATCCGAGAACTCCGCGCGGACCTCCGAAATGTTTATGTCTATGCCACGTTGTCTTCCCCTAGCCCCCTGGTCCACGGCAGCCTGCCTCGGCAAGAGCCCGAGGCAGGCCGCTGCACGAGCCCGCGACCAGCGAGCACCCCGCGCCAGCGCCACCCGCTAGACGGACGAGACGTCGCCCCCCGCACGGGCCGAGGGGCCCCGCGGCAGACGGGGGCCTCGGCGGGGCAGCGTGCACCACGTCTCCTGCGGGAGAGGCCCTGGCCAGCCGACTGGGCAGGGAGGCGTTGAAGGAGGAGGAGGAGGAGGAGGAGGAGGAGGAGACACAAGCAACAGTGTTGCCCGTACTCTCCCATACTTCCTGGGTTTTTGCCCCCCTCCCCCCCAGTTCCCATATTTTCCCCTGCTTCCTGGGGGATCGACGATTCGTTGTGTTTGTGTGTTTTCGTTCCTCCCTGGTGAGGAACCGAAATTTATACACCGATGCCTTTTTTTTCCAGTCCCGCATTGAGACTCGCACGAGAAAACGGATTATGGTGTATACGGCATCCTGGTGTATACATGTTTTGCTGCTTCCACGGGAAAGCGGGGAAATTTTCCACCACACCGCCCCGACGCCGTCCCCGACCCCCACAAAAATCCTGGGATTGCAAAACCGCCCGCCACTGGTACACGTCGGTCGGAAGAAGTAGGTAGACGCATGAAGCAGGAGGGCGGATATAGTAGATTGGGTCCAGGTCCTCCCAGAGGGTTACACAACGGAGCGAAATCATGCCGATTCTTGACGTAGGAAGGCGCTTGAAGCATATTGGGGTCTGGGAATCCCAAAATACCTACTTCCAACGACCAGCGTGTAATGTACATGCTCCAGCTTCCGACCTGGGGCACTCGGTTTCTCGAACGCCGCCCGAGATTTAAGTCGGGCGCGTCCCCCGTACAGGGGGATTTTCGACGACAAATTAAAATACTCAAAACAATTCCAAAATGGTCAGAAAATGCTCTCTCTCTATATATATATAACGTCCCCGGACTCTTTCTCCCCCAGTCAGAGCTTGCTTCTGTAAGGGTCCTAGCGGATTGATTTGCTTAGGTTAGGTTTGTCGCCGATTTTCGCTGCACGACCGGGTGCCCAGGTGCCCGGGGGTGCCCAGGGGTGCCCGGGTGCCCCGGTGCTCGGGCGTGCCAGGGGGTGCCCGGGGGTGCCCTATAGCCCTATAGCTCTAAAGCCTACAGCCCTATAGCCCAGTAGAGACCACCATTGCCATGCTCAGCGCTTTCGATGCTGTCTCTAATCAGCATGAGATGATAGCAACTTCGATTCGCAACTTCCCCCGGGGATTATCAAGTTCGGCCTCCGCGCGCCTCTCCACACTTAAGTCCGATTGACACGGGGGAACAATTATCGAGGGGAGAAATGTGCGGGGGGGTGCTGAACTGTCGGGGGCAATGGGTTACGGACCCCCTCGGGTTGTTCATCGGGCCCCTCAGACAACTTCGGCGTGAGCGGCGACGGCGCCGCATCTCCGTAGATGCTACCCCACGCCGCATGCTCGCGCGATGGCCTGGGCGGCCCGCGCCGGGGCTGGGCCACGAGCTTCTGCCACGCAACGTCGCGCTCGCCATGGCGGCCATGATTGCGCATTCTCTCGGGTCCCATCGCGCCGTGCCTGTCGAGTGGCTCGCCTTCGACGCCATGGGTCGTCTGGTTCCATGGGGCGGCGTCCTTCTCGTCGCTGTCGGCTGGAGATACACTGCCGTGGAAGATAAGCCAATTTCGCGGGTGCTGTTGGCGCCCTGGCTCGGCCACAACTGGCAACCCGCGTGGCCGCCTGGGAATTCTGAACCGCAATGCTGCGCCCTTTTCGCGAACCTCGAGCTGCGCCGGCTTGCTTGCCCCGATGGCGACCATCACCGTCGCTGCTCCTGACCTGGTCGCGAAGCCCTTGCTGACCGCAGGGCAATCAACGGCGATGTCAGGCGTGCTCTGGACACGCGTCGGCACCGCAGGCGCTAGCAATGCCCCTCCGATTGGCACCGCCCATGCCATTGCAGGAGGCGGGTCCATATTGAAGCCGGCCCCAGTGACCCACTTGAACCTGCGCGCGTGGAACCGATGAACACGACTCGGCACCTCGGCCAGCAACCCTATGCACCTGGGCCCCACGTCCTCGTTCACACGCAGACGCGCTGAAAGTGCGACAACCCACAGCGAAATAAGACATGCATATGCGCGGCGATCGCTCTGCCTGGCAATACTCTGCCACCCAGCTTCCAGCGGCGGCAGCGTGCTGATCTGCGCGGGCTTCGGAACCAGAACAGCAGCGCCTCCGCTTGTTCCAATCGCTGCTCCCGTCTCCGGTGCTGCTCCCCAGATTCCGCGAGGCCGCGCCGCTCTGATCCGATTGTGGAACGCGGCGACTTTTGAGTGGGCAACATGATGGACAACATGGTGCTCTTGCACCCGCGCCATGGGTTCGCCGCCCCCATCCCCCCCCCCCCCCCGGCCCCCCATGCGGGGGCATCCGCTTCGCGCGACTCTGCCGACGGCCCCGAGGGCGCGCCGCTCACGGTGACAGCCCTCTTCGCGATGACGGCGCTGAACAGCAGCTCCAGCATCTCTCGCCTGGGGCGCAACAGGCTGTTCCAACGTGTCGCGCCTGGCTGTGCAACGCGCGATTGTCTCCCCCACCCTTCTGACAGCGCCGCGCAACTCCTCCTCGTCCTCGGAGACCTGCTGAACCACAGGTCCCAAGGAGGTTGCAACGCCCAGGGGATGGCTGCGGCTGCGGCGGCGGAGGCTGCAAGGCCGCGAGCGGCTGGGCCGACCTCGCACTCGCGGTCGCGGCCGCCGCAGGCGCGGCCGCCGCCGCCGCGGCATCCGCTGCGCGCCTGGCCCCTTTCAGCCGCGCGCCTCCGCTCGGCCCCCGCGCCCCCCCTCGGCCGTCTCCACCTCCTCCAGTCAGCAGCGCAACCTCTCGGCCAAGCCAGCGCTGCCGCCGAAGCTCTGAAAGATTCCGTCGGGCCGCTCCACGCTGATACCTCCCGCGACGGCCTGCGGCAAACCAGGCTTGGATCCACCAGCTGGCCCATGCGCCCCAGCCTCCAAGTCGCAGCCCTCCGTCTCGAGCTCGACGAATTCACGGCGGTTGATCTCGCCCAGCAGCACGCGGCGCTCAACTGCCCCCGCTCCTCGCGCTGCATGCGCAACCTCGCGTGCTGGGGCGACATGTCCGCGAGCCCTTCATCCAAGCCCTTCCCGTCGGCGAGCTGCTGCCGAAGGGCACTCTGTTTGGCGCGATGGTCTGCGTGTCGGCGGCTGTTGTTCCTTCGGCGACAATGCGGGCCGCGGCGAACTGAGCTGCGGCCTTGGCCAACCTCAACTTGATCTCGCCGCCTTGAGTTTGTTTGCGCGCCGTCGTCAACCCCCGATGCTGCGCCGACGGCCCCGTGCCCTGACATCGGGGCTGACTGCTCAAAGACCGCCAGCTCAGCCCCGAGCCTTTTAAGCCCCCTCAAACTTGTCCTCTCGCTTCGACTGCTCACACTTAGGTGACTTCGTTGGAGTCGACGGCGCCCCAGTGCCTGCCAGGGCGGTGCTCTCGGGCTGCCTGCGCAGCGACCAATGCCCAACAACCGCCCCGTTCACCGCGCGTCTCCCGCGCCGCGTGACCACCCGCGCTGGCGGAACCACTCTGTCGCCCGAGCGCTGACCGTTGACGCCGCCAACACCATCTGCACTTGCAAGGGAATTCGGCACTGGGCACACTGGAAGACAGCCAATCTGCACCGGCACCATGCGCGCTCAGCAATTCAGCGCGCAACTGCACCGCCCTGGTGGAGTCGGCGGGCGGGGCGGACTGCCCGCGGTGACGGGGGCGATCTGACCGTCGAGAGAGCGAAGTCGGGCCGCGGACCAGCGGCGTCCACTGCGTTCAGCGAGAACGGCTAAATCTTCAGCCAACATGGTAACGAAGGGAAAACAGAGAGGACAAAAGGAAAGGAGGAAAGGATTGGAAGGTGGGGACCCCCGCGGGAGCCGGGGGTGCCCAGGCGGAGCGCAAGCAGCAAATGCCCCGCGGGGGTGCTCTCGGCTGGGGAGCGTGGAAGGGCCGAGCGGCACCGGGTGGTGAGGGCGCATGGACAAGGCAGGCGGGGGCGGCGTTGCGCGAGGGCACAGCGCGGGGCCGACGCGCGGCGCGCGCGCGCAGTCAGTCGCCCACGGAGGGCCTGCAAGCGCACGCGGGAGGCAGCTGCTGCGCGAGCGGGCGGGCGGGGGGGAAATGTCAGGGCACAGCAGGCGGGGGAAGAGGCGGGGGCAGCCCTCGAATGAACACCGCCCAGCGCTGATACGCGGAAGTGGGCGCGCATACGGGCTGGCGAAGGCCAGCCCACCGCCAAAAGTGAGGAGGGGCCGTCAAGAAGCCAGGGGTAGCCGCAGGAACTTCGGGCCCGGGGGGAGCGCAGAAAGAGTTCCACGGCCGAGGGCAGGCGCAGCCGAGGCGCAGGCGGCGGGTGGGCTCAAAGGAACGGCCGGGCATCCAGCGCCGCTCACGCATTGCTGGGGGGCCCTCGGTGATCAGCTCGCACGCGCGGGGGTCGCAGGAGGCGGGCCCGACCTGGAGGGGGCCAGCGCCAAAGGCGCGGGACAGGAGTCATTTGTGATGGGCGGCAACGGCGTTAAGTGCACAGCCTGGGGGCGGGGGCGGGGGCACACCTGACGGTGGAAGGCCGAGCACGCCGTCATGTGACGACCGTCCATGGCGGCGAGCGATGAAGGCGCCAAAGCAAGTGCAAGGCCACGGGTGGCCCGGGCAGCAGGACACAGGGCAGGCAGGCGCAAGTGGCCGGGCAGGCCACGCCTTCGATTGAAGCTTTGGCGGCGGCCGCAAGCGCATATGCACCAGGAAAAGATCTCGTAGCCGTCATGGAGTACGGGCGAAGGATGCCGCGGCGGGAATGTAAAGCAATTGCAGCGTCAGCTTTGGACCGGCCGCTCGAGGATTTTGTGGATGTCGCAATCGACAATGGAGCCGAGTAAGAAGAGGTAACGGGCCGACGTTATAATAGACAACGCGCAAAAAGAGGCCGTGAGCTTGCCCAGCCGCGCGTCCAAATTCCCTTCACTCTCGGCGGTGCTGCGACCACAACGAGGTAAGCAATCCGCATGGGATATGCGATCAACCTTCGTTCGACACCTCTACTCAGGAAGGGAGGAGGCATGACAATGTGGCACACAATTCCAAAGCAAACTTGTGCCGTTGCGGTACAGCCGGGCAATCAATTAACACCAGCCTCCCCGTGCCATCCAGCTGCTCCCTCCACCATTCCTCTACCAATGCTGAGAGCTCCGTGGCGTTTCAGACCAGCTTTCGCAGGACCAAGCGGTTATCGCCTTCCCCATCTAGAATGCAAATCCGTACCTTGTACCCTTGTTCATGCGAATCCAGAGGGCATGTGCACCGAGCACGGGAGGTCGCAGAAGCTGCAGGCGATGATGGCGTGGGAGGGGGCTAGCGTCGCTGAAATTCGCTGAGCATGAAAGCAGCGAATCATTCCTGCGTCCGTCTGGGGTGAGGCGTCCCGCCGCCAGAGTCGCCATTGCTTCACTTCGGCAGCAACCTCTGCATCAGTCTGGGATGTCCTCATTAGCTCCGCGAGCTATGCTTCCATTGCCCCCAAAAATCCGTACGCTGCAGTGAGCTCTGCACGATCGCCCGAGTGCGCAGTGGACCGCGATCCAGTCAGCAAGGCACCGATCCTGCCCACCAGAAGTTTCAACCAGGCTTGTGCGGTCTGAGCGGATATGCGCGCTTCGCCTTGTGCAGATGCCTCCGCGACACCTTGCGCCGTTCTATTAGATCTGGGGCATTTGATTTCGCGGCCTCCTGGCAGCCAGAGGCTGCAGTTGCGCTATAATTGTTGGACCCCCGACCCGATAACCAACACCGAGCCCAACGAGAACGGAATGCCAACGCTCAAATTTGTCTGACTGTCCACGCCGGCTTCCACTACTAGTCCGTGCCAGAGGGGTGGATCATACTTCCGCAATGGCTTAAGCAATATCGTCCTTCCAGCTCGTCCAACTGCTGCTCATCATCCTCTTTTGCGCACCCCCTCCGTAACACCGACCGCTCCCCCATAGCTACTGCTCTTCCACCCCCTCCTTCTCCTCCTCCTCCTCCTCCTCCTCCTCGTCCTCCTCCACCCAGACCGCGATGAGGTGCGGGGGCCTGCGACGTCTGTCTTTCCTCTGGCGGGGGCCAAATTGCTGAGGCGCCCCGGGGCTGCGTCCAGGGGAGGGCCCGCGGCGAAGCCTCGCGGCTTCCAAAAACATCGTGGGCGAGCCCACGGCCAACTTGAAAACCTCGGGAGCTCAGCCGCCGAGCTGGGGCTGGGAGGACCCAATCTCTGGCCATCTAGCGAACGCCGTGACGAGCGACGAGTCTGGGTTTCGCGCCCTGGGGACCAGCTCCAGACCATGGGGCCCTCGAGGGCTGGCTCGACGAAGAACCCCGACGCCGTGGCTCTTGCACGACAGGTGGAGATCAGGGCTCCGCGCGGAAAAATTGCACGCTATGCCCAAGAGCCCCAGGGGGCGGGCGAGGCTCCTAGTCGTGGGTCTGGTATACAAATTCCCTCCCTGTTGGGGCGTGATTTTGTGTACCAGAAGTGGCTCCGGGCGGTGGACTCAGACCGGGGAGGGGCAGGCGTGGTACACGAACAGCTCTTGAGGAAGGGAGGGGGGAGGAGTGGGAGACAGGCGGCAGCCTCTGGAAGCACGGCGTCGGGAGGCTCGGACGCCCGTCCCGCGGGAGCGCTCCGCGGCGCTAGCGGGAGCCCGCGCGGGCCGGCAGCGGAGGCTCGACACGGATCCTCTGACCCGAGCGGCGTCTTGGCGCGCCGCTCCCTCGCCATGCACACGCCTCTCCGAGACCACTCCTCCGCTGTGCTCTCGCCTGCCCTGTGCAGCGCTCGGAGGTTACACGACGGTGTCGTCGACGACCGCGAAGACGACGACCACGGCGACGACGACGACGAAGACGAGAACGACGACGACGACGATGGCCAGGACGACGACAACGACGACAACAACGACGACGACGCACACGTGGCTCAGGGGTCCAGTCCATCCTACCAATCCCTGGCTCAAGTCGTCTGCCCGTGCTGCTGCTCAACCTCCAGCCTCCCTGCTATCTCGGTGTAGCTCCGCAAAGAACGCCTGCACGTGCAAATGCGGAAGTGTTTTGAGGCACCGTTTGCGTGTGTGTGTGTGTGCCAAACCTGCTTCGAAACCGAAACCACTGCGACGCAATTCTGGATGCTGGTCCTGTACGGAATCCCTGCACACCGTCATTCTGTGCCAGCTTATGAAAAGGGTGGTGGGGGTGAAGCATCTGTTCTGGAGTTCGGAAGCAACATATCCCTGCCAAACGCCAGCGCACATTAATTGAGGGTGCATGCGCCGTGCAGGTTTTGTTGGGCTCAACGCTCACCTCCACCAAATGCATGAAGTCTGAAGGCGGTGGGGGACGCCAGCGTGCAGAAACAAAAAAAATTCATCAACCCACGAATAACGCCGCATGCGTGTGGCAATCGTCGTTGGTGGTGTGCCGGCACACTACCCGATGTGTGCTTTCACGTGCGTGCTCTGGCAGACCTGGCGCACTCTTCGCACGCCGCGCACGCAGCGCTGGTCATCGGATGGCAGCCCTCGCACGGTTGCTGCCAATGCGGCAGAAGGCGTGCGAACATGAGCGAGACAACTTTTGGCGTTCCCGTTGGGGCGTTGAGGTCTAGACCCCTTCCCCAAACCCCTCCCCTGTCTCTGGACAGGGGGTGCCGCAGAGGGGTCTGGCTTGGCCAAAGATGGCTCCCAAATGCCCCCAGATGTTTCAAGATGGCCTCCAAGATAGCCTCCAAGATGGCACAATATGAACCAGCGTGGCCAAGATGGCGTTCAGCAAACCTAACGCCAAGACACCCGAGACAAACATCCACTGAACAACAACTGTGGTTCAAGGAGTTTCGACATCTGGACGTTTCGCTTCTGGTGGGTTTCGGAAGCCTCAGAATTGCCCCAAGTCGGCCAAACGTAGACCCAAGAAGCAGAAAGGCTCCAAGACGGCCCGAAAGGCATGGACGAGCACTTCAAGAGCGTCCCGAGAATGCCCAACCCAAGGAGCGGCTTTCGGGCAGCAACAATGGGTGAACACTAGCCGATGATCTAGGTTGATCGAGGACGGCCCCAGAAGCTCTTAAGGTCACTGACATAGTAGAGAGCCCCTTGAGAGACCCAAAAGGCCTCCACAAAAGCCCCAAGGCAACACCAGCGTTGGTAAACCGACTCCGAGATGCCCAATCGCAGATTTCTGTGAAAATGCTTGCGAGGGCCATCGCGTTTGCCACATAAAATATTTCCTGCCCCTCCGATGACGCGAAGAAATCACTCATCAATCATCGAAAAACTGTCGCGGCGCCACCACGGGAAGCCGTTCGGGATCATGAACAGTGGAGCATGTGAAGATGTTCGTGCGGTTGCGCCCCGCTTTGTGCCACTGCATGCTCCCGCGCCTCCAAAATCACATGGGGGACGGTTTCTGGGTGGGCCAGTGGGGACTCGTGATGCGACAAGAATCCACATTGGAATTGGCAGTTTGCGCACGAGAGCCCAGGCAGACCAGGGCACCCAAACAATGGATGACACACCCATTCTGCTGCGACGTTGCAGACCACGTATCGGACCGAAAACGAATGTTATAACGCTGGGCCCTCGCAAACTCTCAAAAAAACGTAAACCACTGGACTATGAAAAGAGGAAGGCGCTTGCGAGAGAGGGCGATGATGAACCCCGCACCTACGCTACATTTCCGAACAATGGGGGACATGTGGGGGAAATGGCCTCCGAGAGTGCTCCCGATAGGCAGCAGGGTATCAACAACATTCCAGCAATCTCGGGAGCGCCTGCGAAATCTGTCTAAGGCGATCGGCGAGACTCACCATGGAGCCCCAAACCAAGCGACAGGATGTTAAACACAGGATCTGCCCTGACCAGGATGTGCTTTTGGGGGCAGGGACCATTGGTAACGATAATGAGTCAGCATCGACGGCGACAAATGTGGACCGCGTGCAACCAATGACAAATGATGAAACAAGTCGCGAATGCCATGCTCGTTAGCCCTGCTGATTCCACGCTCGCGATATACAGACATATATATATATATGTGTGTGTATTTATACACATAGGTATACATATTCACACACACACACACACACGCACACCTGCTGCTGTGAACCCACAGCAGGGCAGAAACATGATGAGAGCCTGCTGCAGGCATTCGATATCGCTTCCGACCATCAACCCGTCCCCTAAGGGGTCCTCAGTTGCTGGCTAGGACGCAACGCAGCATGCCTCGTCATCCCGCGGCTGCTGATGGCCGTCCGAGGGGTAGTAGTAACCTCGAGATGCGATTAATCATCGTGACTGTCCAGGCAGCCTTGGGAGCTTTGGGCCCTGCAGCGGCGGCTGAACAACAGATTTCGAAAACCCCTTTAAGGTAGCCAGACTTCACGACCGCTGGTGGAAGGGGGAGGTCCGAGCAATGAAGATTTGAAGAGGGCCGGCCCAGTGGAGAGCTCCTGCCCTCGCATCTCTGAAGCCTGATCAAGAAGCTGCGCAATGAATTTGGGCTTCGCCCTGCTAGTCTCGCAACTATGGCTGACGCTCGTCCGCCTCATGCATGTCTGGCCCGAATCGGAACATGCAAGCATGTCGGGGATCACGCTCGGAAACAAGGGCATACTATAGGCTTCTTCATCCAAAACTGCTGTGGCAAAACGCACATGTAAGCCTGTAGCTTCGCCGAGCCAGATGACACGGGACCGCACACCCATGCTTGGACACGCGCATGCACGCATTGCCAATGTAAGAAACCATGTTTTGAACAACGAGACGCCATGTCGTTCGACTTCAAGAACGGCATGGCTGTCATGATACAGGCCTTTAAGTCTCAGACGGTCGACATGCACATCCGCAGTAACATGTCCCAAGAGCGGCACTGCTTTACAGCCATAGCCTCTCATCAACAAATGTCGAACAGTAACGCTTGGTATCAACCATGAGCGCGCTTCGATTCCTGGGCGCAACATCAAAAGCTAGCGCGTCCAGACGCCCTCTACTACAAGAGGTGAAGATCTGTACGAGCATCGGCCAACAAGGTCTGGTTGTTGGGACAGCCAAGACAGCCATACACCAGGCAGTCAACTGCTCAAAACAAAGATGGGATCCGACGTCATGGGCATGACTACGGCAACATGTTTCAAACATGTCTGGGGGGAATTCCAAAGGGGAGCCGAACATCTCCACTACATCGCGACCGACGCAAGACTGGCAAGACCAAACAGGGTGGATTGACTCACAGGAACCTTAAGAAGGTCTAAGCAAACATTGAAGATTTCAAAGCTCGGTGATCCCATCTGGGATTTCTACGGGGACACTGACTGTACACTCTTCCCCACGTGCAGAGGGGGCTGGTAGTGGATGTGTGGCCGAGAACCAGGCCACTCAAACTTCCCGATGACGCGAGGCGGTCTTGACGTGGACCACACACCCCACCACTCCGACCGCAGGCCAACCATGTGAGCAAACCAGGCCGACCACGATAGCATACACTGGATGAAACATGTGATCGACGAGCACTGCTTGCAATCAAGGCATCGTGATCGACAGTCGATTGGGACTCTGTGGCAACACACTTCCCGACAAAAAAGGCTGGGGCAACCGCACCTGGCGGCAATGGGTGCAGACGGCCCGCGTCCTCGCCAATGCTCCCCGTGTGCACAGGGCCATAGTATACCTGGCCTCGTGGGGATGGCGCGCAAGGGGTGACCGCGAGATCCATACTGCTTCCGGTGGGCTCGCTGGACGGGTACAGTCGGGGGGCGTTGACCTAAGGAACCCAAAATAAGGAACGAGGCCCATTTTTTCCATAAGTTAAGCTTCGATTTTCGACCGAAAACATAAGGAAAACCTGAGGCAAGCTGTGAAACACTGAAGGAACGCGGAGCCCCTCCCCGACTGTAACCCACGAAGGAACAAACCTTAAGCAGGCATGGTGTGAACAAGTACGCCACCGGTCCACCCACCACAGGAATTCCCCCGTGGCGAGAGCCCCTCCCGGCACCAACAGGAGGCCTTCCAGATGGCGTGCGAGCTCCGGGACTGATGTGGGAGCTCGGTGGGAAACGATTGGGGCGCTTTGTTTGGATAGTCGGATGCTGGGGGCTTAGTGGGCCCTGGAAACGACCGGGCCGTTTGTTCACCGGTTCCGTTTCGCCGTTTTTTTGCCGGTTCCGACGCCGTTTTTTTACTGGTTCCGTCGCCGTTTTTTGACCGGTTCCAGCTCCGGTTCCAATCCTGGAGCCGTTTTTGTTGCCGTTTCTGGTCGCCGCTTTTTTGCCGTTTCCATTTTTAAGGTGCACTTTTTTGGAAACGGTGAAAAAAAGGCCCTGCCGTTTCTGGGGCCCACAAAGGCTGGGGATGTGAAAGCCTGTGTGAGCCAGCACTGCCTCAACAAGCTGCCGACTGGTTGGAATGGCGCCGATTACGTTGCCATCAGCCCCCACTAGACCCGACTAGCCACGGCCTTTTCACCCGGGAGCGCCGTCGGTTTCGTTGGCCGCCAGAAAGCAAAAGACTAGCCCTGGCAAGCCGCTGGCCCTTACCTCCCACCAACTGGCCTGTGCCCTTGAGTGGTGTCGATTCCGCTGGCCACTACACGACCCCCGATTGGCCATCCGATCGGTTGCCCTGGAGTACCGCCGATGCCGTTGGCCGCCACTAGCCCGACTTCCCCGGAACTGCACAATTTTCTCTCTGCCCTCGAGTGACGCAGACCCCGCTGGCCGCCAACACCTCTGACCAGCCCCGACAAGCCCCAGGAATTGTCCCGCACCAGGGGGCCACCGTTTCTCGAGGAATACCTAAGAACAGATACATAAACCTTTGGCGGTCCGCGCTGACTTCTCGGATCGGCGCTGGACCCCCCCTCCCTAGCGCGCCGAGCGCGCCGGGAGCGGCGCTGGAAGGACCTCCGAAGACTTTTGTTTATGACAGTGCCTGTTCCTCGAGGTTTTGGTGGGCCTCATGGCCTTTGCCGTGGAGTGCCGCCGATTCCGTGGAAAGCTGATCCGGATGAGCCGAGACAGTCATCTGCCGCCCGTTCTGTTGGCCGCGAACTGGTCGCCCAAACTTACACCCGTCTGACCTGGAGAACTGCCTCCTCCTCCTCCCCCTCCTCCTCCTCCTCCTCCTCCTACTCCTACTCCTCTTCGTTCCTCCTCCTCCTCCTCCTCGTCCTCCCAGTCCTCCTCTTCCTCGTCCTTCCTCCTTCTCCTCCTCATCCATCCTCCTCCTCCTCCTTCTCTTCCTCGTTCCTCCTTCTCCTAGCGATGCCGTTGGCCAATGGGGGGCGCATGCCGGCGTCCGCGGGCCTCGCCTTGGGGACCGCGGAGGGCCCGCTTGGATGAGCGCCAGCTCTGGCTTAAGTATAAGGCCTGCCCCATCTCCCCCCAGAGACTCTTTGTACACCTCGCCAGCATGCTCGGGCGCTGCTTCACGGGGGGCGATCAATGGGGGAGTGGAGAAACGAGCACCTAACTGCCCCCCTCACCTCCCCTCCTCACCTGCCTGCCCCCCTCCCCCCTCCCCCCTCACCTGCCTGCCCCCCTCCCCCTTTCTCACCTCCCTCCCCTCCCCTCCCTCCCCTCCCCTCCAGCTGCCCCCTCCCCCCTCCCATGCCTGCCCCCTCCCCTCCCTCGCCTGCCTGCCATCGTCCGAGGGCGTTGCCTACTGAGGGGGCGATTAATGGGAGGGAGACCCGTGCACCTGCCGTCCCCTCTTTGGGCCCCAGAGGGGGACCCTTCAGGGCCCCTCTGGGGCGCAAAAAAAGGTACACCTTTCTTCATCCCCCGCCACCAATTCACTGCCCCCCCGTTTTTCGCAACGCCCGACGTCCACCGATGAGAACAATTCTGGGGCGCTGCTCTGGCCTGCAGCAAAACAGATATCTAACCTTTTGTGCGGATCAAATTGGCCACAGGAAAACATAGCAAGCGTCGCCTGTGAGGAAATCGGCGCTTACCTGCGATGCAATCACCTAAACATTATGATCCGCCGCTGTGCCGCTGGGCACGGAGTGGGCGCTGGCCATCGCTCGGACGTTCATCTCCTGTGCTTTTTCCGGTTTCGTGCGTGGCTTTTTTTCGCCAAGTGATCAAGGATGCTCCTCGATGGTCCTCGCCGAAGGAAAAATGCACACGCCCGAGCGATGCCAAGGGCGTGTCGTCAGGTCCTTTGCCGAATCCCTTAAAAACTCTCTGGAGGAGCCCTCGAAGGGCCCATGCAATCGGGGCCCTGAAGAAGGAATCCTTTTCGTTGGGGAGGGGCTCCGTGTTCCTTAATTGTTTCGCAGCTTGCCTTGGATTTTCCTTAGGTGTTCGATACGAAATCGAAGTTCAACTTATGGAAAATAGGGGCCTCGTTCCTTATTTAGGGTTCCTTAGGTCAACGCCTCGACTGTACACCAAATTGCCAAATCTCTCAGGGCTTCCCGCGTGCCCCAGTGGACCTTGCGGCGCCTTGTCGCTGGACATGCTCGGAGCCACGGGGACCCCAAGACTGACCAAGAAGGCCCCACGCGGCCCCCAAAGACTGTATATGGGGCCCCGAGTCGCCGAAAGATCGCTCCCAGATGCCCTAGATAGTCAAAGAGGCCTCCAAGACGCCCCGAGAGGCTTCCAAGAGGCCTCCCAAGAAGGCCCCAAGAGGCAGACATCATTGATGTTCCTGCGATGTTGGAGCGATGTTGGCGTTCTCGCCTTTTCTGCTGTCCGACTCTCCAAGACGGCCCAAGAAGTCCCCAAGACTACCCCAAAACGGCCCAAGAAGCCTCCGAAAGAACTCCAAAAAACTACCCAGAGCGCCCCGAGACGGCCCAAGAGGCGCCCGAGACGGCCCAAGAGAGCTCCAAGACGGCCCCGCAAGGAGCCCAAGAGAGAGAACATGAACCGAACATCCGTGCCTTCCGCGCCAAGAGCCCCCCCGGAGGCCCCAAGAGGCCCCAGGAGAACCCCCAGGAGCCCACAAGAAGCCCCACGAGGCTCCCCAAAGTTCCCAAAGATGCCCCATATGGCCCCAGATCGGTCCCCAGGAGGCTTCAAAAATGCATCGAAGAGGCCACCGAGAGGCCTCCCGCGAGATCCCAACGACAATCTAATAGGCGTCATCGCCACAACCCATGCATGGTGGCGGGATGGGCCGAATGCCATTAGATCCGCCGCCTCCTGTTGATGTGATGAAGTGCCTGGCGTGCTAGACCCTACTGGTTTATATTTGGCTCTTTTTCTGAAAAAGCTATCCCCTGGGTCTGCGGTCCGTGCCGCCGGCATCCCGGAAGAGGTGGTTGCCGTGCCTCCCCAACGGCCGTTTCGCTCGGGGCATCCTGAACAAGTCGCGATCTTTGGGATCCTAGCCCAAGACGCCTTATGGTAAGAATAAGCATTTCGCCCAGGACGGCCTCACGATGACGGCAGACGGCCCAAGAGGCCCCTAAGAGGCCTCCAAGACGGCCCAAGAGGCCTCCAAGAGATACTCCAGGCATGCCCGACGAGGCCACAATCATTGCTGCTGCTGAAATTGTTCAAGGATTTCAACATTTGCTTCTTGTCGGCCTTCCGACGGCCCGAGACGGCCCGAGGGCCCCCAAAGATCGCCCCAAGATCGCCCAAGAGGCCTCCAGGATGGCTCCAGAACGGCCCAAGAGGCCCCCAAGACGGCCTCAAGAGGGCCCCTATGACGGCCCAGAGGCCTCCAAGACGCCCAAGATAGCCTCCAAGACTGCTCTGGAGAACCCCAAGAAGGCCCCAAGTCGGCCCAGAGAAGCCCCCAATACGGCTTCCGACGGCGTCAGGCGAGCCAGGAATGCCCTGAGACGGCCACAGAGGCCCCCGAGAAGCCTCCAAAGGACACCAAGAGGCCAAAAGGAGGCACCCAAGATGCCTCCAAGAGGCGCCCATAAAGCTCCCAGGAGTCCCCAAGAGTGCCTCCACATGCTCCCAAGATGCCCTCTCCTCCTCCTCCTCCTCGTCCTCCTCCTCCTCCTCCTCATCCTCCTCCTCCCCCTCCCCCTCCTCCTCCTCCTCCTCCTCCTCCTCCTCCTCCTGATCTTCCCTGCCATCCTCCCCCAAGTGTTCCCCGAAGGGTTTCCACAAAGGTTGCGGAGGAAACATGATCCGATAGCATGGCAGAGCTCTTGCCACAACGCTCGGACACATGGGCGATTCCAGAAGGTGGGGGGCGGCGGTGATTCGCCCTAGAAGGGCGCAAGTCTGGAGCTGGAGCTGGAGTAGGGCTGGGGCTGAAGCGGGAGCTGAAGCAGAGCTGGAACAGAGCGCAACCTAGGCTGGAGCTGGGATGAGAAGGAGAAGGCCTTCTAAGAAGGTGGCGGGGCTTCTCAGAAGCCCTCTCGCCTCCTGAAAAGTTTCCCCGTGCCTTCGGGGACAACTAAGACAACTTTTCAAAGGCTGGACTTCCGAGACTTCTGAGGAGGCCCGCCCCTTCTCACTCTCCCCCCTCGCTCGCCGCCGAGTAACGAGCGCCCCCACCGTAGAAAAACAGCCGACCCATATCATAAGAATGCGCGGGAAGGATGCAAGGGCCTTGGAGGGCCATGTTAACGTTTTTCGAGCGAGGCTGGCCAGCGAAAGTCGCTAATCAAGGGTGGGCCCAAGGGGCAAGCATGCACGGGTACCCCTGGGAAGGTTGCCCATCCTGACTGTGCGGGTTGACTTTGAGCAGGGACCGACCGTCCCAGCATTCCTATAGCCCTACCACGACATGTTCTTAGAACCCACAAATGTCCTAAGAACAATAACAATGTTCTTAGTACATGAACCCGATGTGTTAAACCGAGCCAGTCTCCGCCAGAGATGTTCTCAGAACATTTCGCGGGAACCACAGCAGGTTCTTAGAACATTGTTTGGTAGGGCTGCAGGCGAGACAGGACGCTTCGCCACTTCTGGATGACTGTAGCTCAGCCCTGACTCCGGATCCGCCCAACTTTGGGGAAATTCGTAAGTCGGGCTTGGAATTTCCGCCTTACTTTTCAAGCCCCGCTGATGTCAATTTCCGCCCTACTTTTCTGTTGCTGTTTCCGCCCTGCTTCTGTTGATTTCCGCCCTATTTTATCATGGGTGCAGAAATTTCCGCCCTACTCTTTCGGCTTCTTGTAGGTGGATTCCCGACGCAATTTTACGTTGGAAAGGAAACCAAATTTGGGCGGATCTGGAGTCAGGGAGGTCTTCCGTTCCACGAGCGCCCCCGCCGTCACTGCTTGATGACTGTATCTCAGGTCTTCCTTGCAACGACCCTGAGATCTGATGTTGCCAAAAAATTGCGACATCGCCAAAAATCACGCCCAGAGCCCCGGACCGTATCTTGCTGCGTCATTTTTCGAGCCAAATCGATCTGTGAGGGTCCCGGGGCCCGAAACTGAGCTAAAACACCCGTTGTGACAAAATTGCAACGCCAGGATCTCACGGGAGCGCCCCCGCCGTAGAAGAGCAGAGCTGCCCCCCCGGCGGCGGCCTGGCACCGCGAGCTGCCCGTACTGCGCGGGGCCCGGCTGCTGCGCGTGCCCCGTCGGGGCGCCGCGCGGCCCCCACGGCGCGGCGCCCGGCGGCTGCGGGCAGCCGGGCGCCGGCGCGCCCGCCTCCGTGGGGGAACGGCGTGTTCGGGAGCGGCCAACCCAGACCCCCTCGAGTTATGAAAAAATCACGACGGGAGGTTTTTCATTATTTCTGGCCTCTGGGGGCCCTTACCGGCCCTCGGGACCGTCAAAAAACGACTCAGGATGACAACCCGGTCCTGGGGAAGGGGTCGAGAACTCTGGGGTCGACGTAATGAAACATTCATTGCGTCGGGGGTCTGGGAAGAGGGGGGTGTCCAAGAGGGGGGGGTGCAAATCATGACCGGCGGCATGTGCGCGGCCCAGCGGGGGGGCCAGGGACGTAAGGAAACAAGAAGAGGCGCCATGAAATCTGGGGAGATACCATGGCCCACGCCATGATATCCACCCCCCCCCCAGTCATCACCCCCCTCTTTTCTGCCCCCGACGTGTCCGTCTCCGCGGCCTCGCGGGCCCAGCCTGAAGTCGGGCGGGCCCCCTCCTACAGGGTGGTTGTCAACGAAAAACAAAACAGACTCCCCAAAAATAGCCCCACATGGTACCAACAAATATTTTAAAAAATAATCCCCAGACTATTTATTGTTACTATTTTTGAATTCCCCCCCCCCTGTAGAGGGACAGGCCCGACTTCAGCCCGACCCCTCAGGGCCGCGATCCCGCGGGCACGGGGCGTCTTGCGCGGAGGGCCCGCGCGGAGCGCCCCCGTGCGGCTGCGTGCCCGCGGGACCGCGCCCCGGGATCGGGGCCTCGAGAGGGAGCGGGTGCGGGCATCGACGTTCCCAGACATCGGGCGTCTCGAAAAAAACGAGACGGAGGTCTTTCATCGTTCTCGGCCTCTCGGGGCCCTCGCCGGGCCTCGGGACCGTCAACAAAACGACTCGGAGTGAAACACCGGTCCCGTGGAAGTGGTCGGGAGGTCGGGGGCCCGTGCTTTGAAAAAAATCGAGGCGTCCCCTGAGATCCGACAATGCAAAAAAATTGCAACATCGCAGAAAATCACGCCCGGAGCCCTGGACCGCATCTTTCTGCGTCATTTTTCGCGCCGGATCGATCTGTGAGGGTCCGGGGCCCGAAATTGAGCGACAACCCGTGTTGTCAAAACATTGCAACGCCAGGATCTCAGGGTTTGGCAAAAATCGAGACGTCGGATGTCTGGGTTCGCCGCTCGTGGCGCCGCCTGCGGCGGCGGCCAGGCCTGCGGGTGCGGCTGGCCCGGCGGCAGCGAGCAACACGGCGGCGCCGGGCCGGGCGGCGCCTGGCCGGGCGCCCGGGCCCTGCCAAATAGATCTCGGAGGCGTGGTCGCTGCACTCTGTCCCCCCCCAGGGCTCGACCTAATTGACAACCTACCAGACCACCCCAACCCAACCCGAAGACCCCGAATTTGACCCCAATTTCGGGTTGGGGGGTACGGGTTCCATGTGTTTTCTCAACGTTCCCCGACCCCCCCACACTGGAAATGGAGGGCAAATTGAGGGCTTCGGGTTGGGTTGGGGTGGTTTGGTGGGTGGTGACTAATCAGTGTGCTGCGTGTCCGTTGTGCTTTCGTCCTCCCTCGCCTTGTCTCAGATCCGCCGCTGCTGCAAGACGGCGTCGAAACGAAACCCGCCCACAAGGTCGCCCAAAAGCACCGTCTGGGCTCACCCATGCCGCCCCCACTTGCCGTGGGCGGTGGGGTCGTGGGCTTGTGGGGCCAGAGAACTGGCCTGCACTCCTGAAGGAGGTTCGATGGGAAAAAGATCCAAAGGCTCCCAACTTCGCGCTTCGCGCTGCGCTAAGCGCGAAGTGCGAATAACTTCGCGCTCTCGCGCCGCCTCCCAGGGGAAAAGAAGAGAATGAGGAATCGGAGCCGAACCGCGAAGCGCGAAACGCGAATAACTTCGCACCCTAGAGGGCGCCCTTGGTGATCGCTCCTGTTCTGTGTGTGTGCTCTTTTGGTACTCTGCTGACTGACCAATTACGCTGCCTCGCCGCGCGCGCGGCCTTGACACCAAGAAGTGAAGCGTGCGTGTGCGTGTGCGTGTGTGGACTTGTGTGTGTGCGTGTGGTTGCGCGCGCGCGCGTCCTACATTGCCGCCTCCTCCGAGTCCGCGCCACCGTCAGGGTAGTGCGACGTCTGGGTACGCCTCGAGAACCGTTTCCTCTCGCCTCGCCATCTCCGCCATCCCGCCATCGCTCGGGCCTCCGTTCCCCGTGCATGTTTTGATTTCGTGCGTGCATGAACCCTTGGATGAGGAGATCAGGGTCTAAGAACTGGTGGAACACCAACTGAGGGGCGTGCATGGCATGGGCACTATCCGCGCCTCATCAGAAGAAGGAGCCCTCCGGGATCTGGAGCGTCCTGGGCGCACTCCTGCACGAACGCCCGCACACTTATCTGGGCGCTCTGCCGAGCATCACTCCCGCGCACAAAAAGGGACGCACCATGTTCCAATCCAGTCGAAAGGCGTCCCTGAATTCAACATGGAGATACCTGTAAAACAGCCACACCCATTGACGCTGCAGAGACTCGTGCCGCGTCACATCATTACTTGTTCATATGCGCCTCCAGCAGAATCATTGAAACCAATACCTTGTGAAGTTGAGCGCGCGTCACTGCATCGCTTGCGTGCCACATGAGTTCTGGCATGGCTCAAGACATGCTCTGCCCCTCCATTTGACAGACACACACACACACACGCACACTCTCACACACACATACACACACACACACACTCTTGCTGCCTCCACAGCGGTTCGCACTCCACACGATGACAATGCATTCGGAGGTCACCTTCAACATGACCCCGAACTGAAGGCAGTTCTTCTGGACTCCCCCTCTCGCCAACCATTAGGCATCTGCCGCGTCCCCGACATCGACCGACATCCAAACACATCGTGACGGGAGATATTTCCCAAAACCCGACCCTGTAACGTTGTTCCCCAGTTCGCCCCCCTTCGCCCCTGACTTCCAGAACGTCTCCCACGCCACGCCCAACTTCCCAATGCTTGGGAATTGCGCGTTAGGTCTCAATGCCGCATTCTACCAAGCATCCTGAACATTCAAAGTTGTAGTGTCGGGTGCCCCAGCTTGGCCCCCTCCTTTCATGAACCGTCGTGGTGTCTTATACAAACGGTGCGCGGACTGCGTCAACATGTCGTTTGGGTTCCCGTGAGTTCCGTCCGAATCTCGAATTCGATCGCCCCAAGAAGATGCATGCATGGTCGCACTCGCAAGCACCACATATCGCACAGATCTTACGTAACATGGCGTGCTTTTATGAAGGCGGTTTGAAGCCACCTGCCTAGCGTTGATGTGAAAGGCAAGGGTATCTCACCCTTTTCCCAGATCGGTTCGCAAAAAAGGGGGCGCGAGCCTACGTCCCCCGACGATTCTTCAGAAGACACGAACGTCTGCATTACCCATCTTGCGCAACACCGCAGCAATGCGCATTGGGACCTGCAAGGGGACTCCCAGAACACAGCCGCGCACTGAGGCACTTGAGACGTCTGCACCGCGCCTGCGGGAATATTGAACTGTCCGAGGGGCCCCCTGGAAACGAGACGTAGGAACATAGTCTGTTCAACCAGCGTGGGCGCTGCATCGTCCGGGTCTCCTGCGCAACGTTTTGCATTGGCAACTGCTGGGACAGCACTGGCTGCGCGAAGCCGTGGGCAGCTGCTGGTGGCGCGGGCTGCCCGTAGGCTCCTCCACCCGTTCCACCCTTGTCCCTGCCTGTCTACTTCGCTCCTCCCCTCCGACGCCATGTGAACTCTGACCGAACGCGCAATCAACTACCGAGCCGACGATGTCTGAGCGAAGCCGGCGAAGGCCGTGCAGCTTTTCACGAAGGAAGCGCCCCCCCCTGTTCGGGAGCGGCCAAGAACGGGGTGTCTAAGAGGGGGGGTGCAAATCATGACCGGCGGCATGTGCGCGGCCCAGCGGGGGGGCCAGGGACGTAATGAAATAAGAAGAGGCGCCATAAAATCTGGGGAAATATCATGGCCCCCGCCATGATATCCACCCCCCCCTAGTCATAACCCCCTTCTTTTTGTCCGCCCCCGACCTGTGAGTCTGATGCCTCCCGCCCTCCGAAGGCCACTGCATCTGACACCTGCGCAACGGGAATGGCAGCCCGCCCTCGCTCGTCCGAGGCAGAGGTGCGCGGAGCAGACGGCCGCCCCCGACGGCCTGGGCGTCTGCCGACACCCGCTCGCTGGGGGCGAGAAGGCGTGTGAGATGATTCTACCAGCCTGGAGCACATCCCTATCCCTATGCTGGACATCTCCTCATCACGATGCCAATCTTAGGGATTCACTTATTTTTTGAGGGCGCATCCCTAAGATTGTCATCGCCTTTTAGCGTGTCAATCTTAGGGATAGGGATAAGTTCGAGGCTAGTAATGATTGGCTGTCCCCGTCCCCATTCCCTAAGACGAAGCCAGGACGAGGATGAATTCGGGTAAGGAATCAATCGAGAATCTCCGAGCTCCGGCGGCTCTGGAAGATGTCTCTGGCGCCGCGGTCCTCTCAGAGCGTTCCGGAGCGCTCTGAGAGCGCTCCGGAACGCTCTGGAACGGATTTGTCCTCGTTCTAGCCCCGTCCGATTTCCTCCCCTGGGGCCCACAATCGCATTGCAGGGGGCCTGAGGAGTGGGGGGGGTACGAGCTGGTTAACGCACCCCATGGGCTCTCCGGAGCCTCTGAAGAGCCCCAAGACGGCCCAAGCGGGGCCACACTGAGCGCCGAGAAAATCCAAGAGAGCGCAGCGACGGTCCAGGGTAGCTCCGCGAAGATCCAAGATGGCGTCATGACGGCCCACGAGGCCCCCAAGACGGCCAAAGAGCACTCCCCGAGGACCGCCGAGAGGGCCCAAAGGGCACGAATGCAGGCCTTCTCCGTGCTGACAGGGTCCAGGACGGCCCCAAAGATCGTCCCAAGATGGACCACAAGGCCCCCAAGAGGCCCCCCAAGAGGCCTCCAAGAGGGCCCCAAGACAGCCCGAAAAGACCACAAGAAGGCTCCAGGGGC